ACTCTTGGGCCAGAATCTACCTAACTGATGAGTGCCATCTATTCTGAATGGATGGAAAATCAACATATTTTTAATTTTTTTCAGACCATCATTTCAAATAGATTTCCAATCTCATCCCAACTGACTCACGTGGCAGAAACAAACCTATGTGCTTTGAGAAAAGAGCAAGTGGATAATACAGTAGAAGTAATGGAGAGAGACAGGTAGAGACATCAGACAGTTTACTACATTTTATGAGTACCAGCACCATCAAACACCCAATTTGGTGAAAATTTCAGAGTATATTTTTTAACACTGAGAAAAAGAGAAGTTGGGTTGTGCCATATCAGATCAGGTGTAATGACAATTATCAACATTTTTGTTCACAGATGACTTAAAACTTTTTTTTTTTTTTTTTTTTTTTGAGAGAGATAGAGAGAGAGAGCACTCCCATCTGCTGGTTCACTCCCCAAATGCCCACAATACATAGGGCTGGGGCAGGCTGAAGCCAGGAGCCTGGAGTTCAATCCAGGTCTCCCACATGAGTGCCGGGGCCTGCTGCCTCCCCCTCCAGGAAGCTGGAGTCAGGAAGGAGAGCTGGGAATTAAACCTGGGCACTCTGATGTGGGACTCAAGTGTCTCAACCACCGGGTTAAATGACCACTCCCATAGATGACTTTGAAAATATAACTATAGACCCACTGTTAAGGGGAAAAAATGCACATATGACCTATACATAAAATCTTACTCTATAACTCATTATGGTACTTGAGATGAAAATTAGTCACAACACTCATGATACAGCTCCCTAATCACTTAACTGCCATCAAATCTTTCTTGCATCTAATGTGAAGTTTCAAAAATCTAAGCCTCTCTCTGCCTTTTCTGTCTTATTAGCGTAAAAGAAGCTCAGTATAAAATTGGCATAATGGTCATAAGACACTAGGGATTTTATCATAACCATTCTTGCTTTAAGCTTGCTTTCTTCACAGATCATGGCATATGGTGCTGATCACCTTCCAACATCCAGGGGTCCCGTATGCATTTCATGCCCAAGCTGGACGATCATGTATTTTGAGCCTCCTTCTACGTGTGGCCCTATGACCAAGCTTTAAACAGTTACATGTAAGCACTGGATCTTCCAAAATATCTTCTTCCTTTCCTCTACCCTGTCGTCCCGAATGGAGACTCAATAACCTTCCTGGGCCATGAGGTTGTGGGTGAAGGGCAACACCATCTGTTGACTCCCCAGTAAAAGGTAAGTTTCATGAGAACAGGAGCAATATTCCCAGCATATAAAAAGTATGTGGCATGTGACATGAGCTCAGGTACTGAGTGGGTATGAAATCGGTGAATGAGTGAGTTTAATACCAAACCTGTATAAACACCATCTCAGCCACAGCACCGGCCCCCATCCATTCTTGATTAATACTCAGGCCCCTTGAATGCTGCTGCTCATCTTTGTAAGCCTCACTTATTGCCACTTACATCTCCCTGTCTCCTCCCTGCACCCAGTTATCTTCTCAAGACAATCACTTAGTACCCATGGCTTCACTTACTTTTCACAATCTCTGATGACAAGACAACTTTAAGTGTAGTTTTCATTTAACAGCTTTATTTTATGCAACACTTTATTTGCTAAAAGCATAAGATTCCAAGTAACTTCATGAAAGGAATCACTAAAAGAAAGTGATATTATTAGCGTGGACGTTTTAATAAATTTGTTCAATTATTCGTTTTGGTTTGATTTAGTGTGTTAATTTTGTAAAGCTTTTTTTTGTTGTTAATATTTTCACCTATTTGAAAAGCAGATCAGAGAGAGAGAGAGAGATTTTCATCTGCTTTTTCATTCCCCAAATGCCCACAACAGTCAGCACTAGGTCACATTGAAGTCAAGAGTCTAGAACTCCATCTGGGTAGCTGGATTGGAAGTGGAGGAGCCAGGATTTGAACCAGGAACTCCCATATGGGATGCAGGCATCCTAAGAGGTGGCTTAACCCAGTGATCTATGATGCCCACTGCCATGTGTGACTCTGACTGAGATACACAATGTTACTTTTTAAGCTTTGAGTTGGGATGTTACAAAATGGACTTAGCCTTTAGAAGTACTTCCTACTTCCAACCAGAGAGCTCTATTTCAATGTCACTTAACAGTGTCACAAGCTATCTTCTGCCCCAACCTCATTCCCTTCCTGGATTTTCTCAGGAGAAAGCCACCTCTGTCTACCCAGTTTCCTAAATTAGAACTTTAGCAGCCTTTTTGCCTCCCCCATCCAATCACCACATACTTATTATTCTATCTCTCACATGACTACAAATCCTTTAATTCCACTTCAGTCACAGTCATTGCCTTCAGTTTGAACCCTTGCTCCTTTCCTAGGGGAATATAAAGTCTCTCTCTCTCTCTCTTTTTTTTTGACAGGCAGAGTGGACAGTGAGAGAGAGAGACAGAGAGAAAGGTCTTCCTTTTTTTGCTGTTGGTTCATCCTCTAATGGCTGCCGCGGCCGGCGCACCGCGCTGATCTGGTGGCAGGAGCCAGGTACTTATCCTGGTCTCCCATGGGGTACAGGGCCCAAGGACTTGGGCCATCCTCCACTGCACTCCCTGGCCACAGCAGAGAGCTGGCCTGGAAGAGGGGCAACCGGGACAGAATCTGGCGCCCTGACCGGGACTAGAACCCGGTGTGCCAGCACCCCAAGGTGGAGGATTAGCCTAGTGGGCCATGGTGCCGGCTCTTTCTCCTCTTTTTAAAGAAGTATTTAGAAAGTTGAATTTACAGAAAGAGAGAGAGAGAGATCTTCCATCCACTGGTTCACCTTCAGATGGCTGCAATGGCCAGCGATGGGCCAGGGTGAAACCAGGAGCCAGGAGCCTCAGCTGGGTCTCACACATGGGTGACAAGGGCCCATACACCTTGGCCATCCTCTGTGGCTTTCCCCAGGCCATTAGCAGGGAACTGGATTGGAAGTGGAGCAGCCAAGATACGAACTGGCACACATATGAGATGTCAGGATTGCAGGTGCTGGCATAGCTTTCTTCATCCCCTCTTACTATGCAGAGTAACCTCACCACAAACACACTGGAGAGCCACTCAACTTCAAATTGTTCAGTGCCTCCGGTGTTTCCAGGATAAAATTCAAGCTCTTGGTCCCCCAGCATCTAATTTGGCGCAGACAGCTCTGGGGTTGTATCCCAGATTCAAGCACTGTCCAGCAGTGTGACCTCAGGAGACTGGACTCTCTAAGCCTTTGTTTTCTCATCTGCCTGAACTCACTGAGGACTGGGATTGTTTCACACATGTAGTGCCTGGCACACAGGACTTGAGCAATACTAAATCCAATCGAAGTATTGTCCTGGGAGAAGAAGGAATTGGTGCAGGTGCTAGCATGCCACCTGAGACATCCCCCCACCCCCTGTTGGCTGGCCCAGGTTTTGTCCTGGATGTAATTCCGATTCCAGTTTCCAGCTTGGTGTACACCTGGGAGGCAGTAAGTAGGTGATGGCCCAAGTAGTTGAGTCCCTGCCAGCCACGCTGGAGACCTGAATGGAGCTCTGGGCTCCTGGCCTTGGTCTGGCCCAGCCCTGGCCAGTGAGCCCTGGGGAGTGAGCCAGTAAATGCAAGATCTCTCTCTCTCTCTCTGTCAAATAAAGGAAAATAAGCAAACATTTAAAAAAAATCCTTCCTTTTTAAAGAAAGATCCTACTATGTAACGTCATTTCCTTCCAAGTCCGACTTCTACCTTTACGTTCACCATCAGGAATGGCCTGGCCCCACCCTAAGCGGTCACGTGATCCTGGGAAAGTTACTTCGCGTGTGGGTCTCAACTTCATTCTGTAAAATGGGACGGTTTTTGAGGGTTAAATGAATGTCTCAGTTGGAGGAGCATCGGGCGCATCGTGGCCAAACGTTAACGATTTGTTACCATCACCTTCAGCGAATCAGGCCCGTGGTCCCCCACTGTGGTTCTCGGTTTTGTTCGAGGAAACCTTCGTTGTTGTCAGTGGAAGGCGGCTGTGGGCGGGAGAAACAGGCGAGAACGCGGGGCTGGTGTGGCTCGCGTCCCGGCGCGGGGAGGGAGCAGCGCGGGCCGTTTCCCCGACGAGGAAGTGGAGAGGTGACGTGTCCTCAGGGCTCGCGCAGGACGCGCGGCCACAGCCCTTTCAGGGCCCCCGGTCTCTCCGAATGGTCAGCCGCGGGCGAAAGCCAGCACTTGGGAAGACCGGAGCGCAGCATTTGGTCACAGAAACGGTCGGCAATTCAGGTGCCACCAAGTTTGGTGAGCAAAGGAAAGCCGTCGGACTCGGAGAAACCGAGTTGCTGGCGGAGCAGGCGCTTTCCTCACCGGGGCTTTCTGCAGAGCCCCCCTGCCGAGGGCTGCCTCGACCAACGAACGCCCCCGGCGCTTCCCGCAGGACCGGAAAACTCTGGGCACCGGGCGATGAATGGAACCCGGAGTCCCGGACGCACCTCTCGAGGGGCGGGGCACCGCGCGGGGGCGGGGCATTGTGCGTCACGTGCCTGGACTCCCCGCGGGCGCGTGTAGGGAACTCTGGGCATGATTGGTTCCTCGTAACCAGGTGACCACAGGACGCGTTCCGGTTGGTAGGCGCCAGCCAGAGTGAGTGGCTTTCGGTCGAGAGGCGGCGGCGGAAGAAGGAGGGGCTCCGACCGCGCTCTCTGCCGGCAGTGGCTGCGTCTCTCAGCGCCTGGCGGGTCCCCACCCCTTTTAAATAAGCCGGGCTGGTCGCCGCCCTCGCAGACAAGTCGGCTCGAGGGAGGCGGCGGTGGCGCGGCGGCGGGGGTGCGGCCGAGGCCGGAGCCCTGCCCGGGGCCGGGCGGCAGGGCGGGCGGGCGAGCGGCGGGCGAGGCCGTGTCTCTATGCGCGCCGCAGCCCCGGCATAGCCCGGGGCTGCCGGTGCCGACCGCGCCATTGTTGGGGGAGGGGGCGGCTGCCGAGCGCCGCGGAGTCGGGGGCGAGCGAAGGCGCAGACGGTGGCGGAGAGGAGCGGAGGCGCCCCATGGGGAACACGCTGACCTGTTGCGTGTCCCCCAATGCCAGCCCCAAGTTGGGCCGGCGCGCGGGGCCGGCGGAGCCGGACTACGAGTCCGAGATCTACGAGGCGGCGGCCGGCGACGCGGTGGCTGTGGCGCCGGCACCCGCTGCCGTGGAGCCCACCGAGTTGGATTTCGGAGCCGGCGAGGGCCACCACCTGCAGCACATCAGCGACCGGGAGATGCCCGAAGGTGAGGAGGAGGAGGCGGGCGCACTCTGGCCTCCGCCGCCCCCCGGGTCCCTCGGGAGGCGGCCGCCGCCTCGGGTCCTTCCTGCCGGGAGCCGGCTTTCCCTGGGCTGGGCACCGGGGCTGAAGGCTGGCTCAGCTCCGCGTCCCCACCCCTTATTCTTTCTCTGACGATCTGTGCCGTTTGCTTCCCTTGGCCCCACGCGAACGTTCAGTGCTCTGTCCCCAACCCGGCCTGGGACCCTCCTGTGCGCGGCCCTTCCTGTTTGCAGCGTTGTTCATCTTCCCATGGGACCTTATCAAGACTTTTTGGGTACATTCTCTGCCTTTTCGCAAATGAAAATTGAAACACCCGGATTTCGGGGTGTGCATCCCATCTCCGCCCTCGCCCATCCTGATGGTGCCTAAGGGAAGGAGCCAGGTAAGGACCGAGGTTCCTGCCACGCACCCGTTGGAGTAGTGGATACCCCGCACAGTTCACACATTTAAATTCAGGCTAGATGTTGCTTCCGGTGTCTGCCTGGTGTTAAGTGGACTGTTTGCTGCCCCCATCCCCCGCCCCGTCGAAGCTGCCGAGTTCCTTCCAACTATCATTTGAACAGGAAAATATTATGAAGGGCTTAAAATAACTGTGAAAGGTGTGAAGCGCTACTGCCAGGACTGCGGGAAAGTGTGTGTGTGTGTGTGTGTGTGTGTGTGTGTGTGTGTGTGTGTTTTAAATCCGAGCAGTTTAGGCATGGAGTTCAGATTGCTTAAAAATTCCCGTTTTGACGGAAATCTGTGTGCAGCCCTCCTCCGATGACTTAACCGACTTCACGTACCTCGTCTGTTCTGGAGGAGAGGGTGGGGAGGTGTGGGAGTGGTTCCTCAGTGCTGCTCCAAAGTTTCACACGAGACAAATGCCCATCGAGAACTCTTGACTTGTTAAGGTCTGGGAACTAAAATGCCAGCCCCCGGCCGCGGTAGTGTTTGGTTCCCTGGCTCCCTCCCCTCCCTTCCCCCCACTTCCTAGACTCCGAGCCGAGTTCTTTACTGAGAATGCTGAGGGGGCTGGGCGGGGGAGGGAGAAGAGAGGAGGAACCACGTGTGTGTATGTAAAAACTTGGGCTCTTTTGGAAAGCTTTGAATCTAGGTAAAAATAATTCTGGCCAACACGGTGGTCCTGAATGACTGAGTGCTTTGAAGTAGAAAACATTGTAACGTATTTAAGCCCAGGTTGGCCCGTTTGTTTCATTTAAATGTCAGGGATGATTTCATTTCCAGGAGGAAAGATCTTAAAGGTCTTGTAATTTAACTTTCGTTGGGCTCTTAAGTTATTTAAAAATGAGAAAGATTAAGGCTCATGATGGATATTCCTGTGTAACTGGGAAGTACTCAGTTTTCAGCAGACTCAAAAATTGTGAAGGAATGAACAAAGGTATCATGTGAATTAATTGTACCTTTAAACACAGTGCATGTAAGTACTTGTGAAAACAGCACTCTACTGGGTGGTGCAAGGTAAGCCCCCAAGTGATTTTACAAACCAGGTAGTAGATGGGTAGTGATGGATTACAGCCCAAAATAAGATCTTTATAGACTTCTTTTGAGATTTACGGTGTATTTTCATGTGCATCTCATTTAACCCTTCCAAATACAAATAAGGCCTGTGCGTGATCTCCCAGTGTTGCTAACAAATGAATGAAGATCTGAAATGACTAAGCAGCTCCTGGATGGAAGAACTAAGGATTTCCCTGCTGATGCAGACTGACATGGCTGTGGTAGATAGGCCAAATTCAGTTCTTCAGAAACTTTAAGAACTTTTCAGGATGCATGTCATATGTCACCTGCAAAGTAGGTCTATCTCTTAGAACATTCCTGCTCTATTAAGAAATTTTTTTTGGTTTGTTTTATACAACTCAGAGGCAACATTTTATCTTGCCATCCTATATCTATATACCCATTCCCTGTGATGTATAAAAGCATGGATGACAGATGACTGCAACCTACCCAGCAGATAACTGTGGTGACGGATTTTAGAGCTTGTTCTGACAGTCCGGAGCTGCAGCTCAGAGGCCCCTGGAGGGAGGAACCTGAACAGGAGCCCTGAGGAGAACGAGTAAGGTCCCAGGCATTAGGCACAGGACTGTGTTGTGAGCACAGAACTTACCATTTTATGTTTGTTACCATGACAGTTAAATTTTTACCCAATTTTATTATTACTCAACAACTTTTTCCTACAGCGTTTTGAATTCTGGCTTTCGGAGCTTTGCTAATCTGCTGGCTAAAGTTGCTCTCATGTGACCCCTTGCTCGTCCTCCCTCTGAAGGGTGAGGGTACACAAGGGATTGGCAATGTGGTGTAGAAAAACCTCGGAACAATAGAGCTTTCCTCTTTTCAGTAGTTATTTTTTTTAAAAAAAGATTTATTTATTTATTTGAAAGAGTTACACAGAGAGAGGAGAGGCAGAGAGCAAGAGAGAGAGAGGTCTTCCATCTGATGGCTCACTCCCCAGTTGGTCGCAATGGCTGGAGCTGCGCTGATCCGAAGCCAGGAGCCAGGAGCCTCTTCCAGGTCTCCCACGCAGGTGCAGGGGCCCAAGGACTTGGGCCATCTTCTTCTGCTTTCCCAGGCCACAACAGAGAGCTGGATTGGAAGTGGAACAGCCGGGTCTCGAACTGGCACCTATATGGGATGCCGGTGCTTCAGGCCAGGGCATTAACCCGCTGAGCCACAGCGCTGGCCCCTTCAATAGTTATTTTAAACCCTCTTCTTTTCCCTTCTACTTTTTAAAACTTAATATTGATATGTTTGAAGTATAAAATTTAGAAAATACTGAAGTTATTTAAGTTCAGTGTACCCATGAGTCATGTTTATTTCTATTTTGAACCTTTTATATAGACGTAACATTTTATTTTACAAAAAAATAAGATCACACTATATTGTGCTGTTTTGAAGTTGTTACTTAAAGCAGTGAAGACAGAGAGGTTCCTGGAACAGTGCTTGACACGTAAGGTGTCGTTTATGCTAGTGCACTCTGCTATGACTTATGCTTTTTTTTTGGTAACTGGAAGTTACCATCAAATGGGTGGAGCCTCATTTATCCTTCCTTTGCACCTTTTAATAATAAAATCATATAGTCCCATTAAATGTTTGATTCTGGGACAGAGATAAAGACATCACCTCTTTATAGAATTGAGACAGTATACTTGCATTTTGATTTTACTTAAATCTACATGATGTCATTTTGTAGTTAAGACATTTTATTTATTTTTTGACAGACAGAGTTAGACAGAGAGACAGAGAGAAAGGTCTTCCTTCCGTTGGTTCACCCCCAAATGGCCGCTACGGCCGGTGTGCTGCGCCGATCCAAAGCCAGGAGCCAGGTGCTTCCTCCTGGTCTCCCATGCGGGTGCAGGGCCCAAGCACTTGGGCCATCCTCCACTGCACTCCCGGGCCACAGCAGAGAGCTGGACTGGAAGAAGAGCAACTGGGACAGAATCCGTCGCCCCCGGGACTAGAACCCCGGGTGCTGGCGCCGCAGGCGAAGGATTAGCCTAGTGAGCTGTGGCTCTGGCCTTAAGACATTTTAGTATTAAGTGTTCTCATTCTAAATAGAAGTTATCCTTGACTTTTTTATGGGGCATTAGAATTCCTCTTTTTGATTTCTTCTGATCTTCCTGGCCTGTCTTTTGTCTTTAATTCTGAATAGCCACCACTGTTAAGAGATGTCAAAGTCATGCTGGTCTTACATGATGGGTCAAGAAGCCGCATCAGAAGAAACTTAGATGGCGTGGGAAAACTGGGACAAACCACTCATTCCAGATACCCTACAAATGTTTATTGAGCACTGTTCAGTGGTTTAGCAGTGTTTCTGAGCAAGCAGTGGAACCTGAGGAAAAGCCTCTATCTCAGCTCTGATGCTCGCGTTCTGAAGCAGGTCCGGGTAGACAACATTTGAATGAAATCCAGACCATCAGGCAGTGAGGTGCTGGGAAGAAAGTACAGGGTAATGGACTGGGGAGGAAGGCAGTTGTAGCTGGGGTGGTGACAGGTGGTTGCTCTCCCTGAGTGATGTGTCAGTAGTGCTGATAGTGGGAGCTGAGAGAGAGAGAGGCAGGCTTCCATGCATAGGGATAGCTCATTTTGGAGTTCTCCTGGATGGTAACACTTGATTTGTGCGAAGCATAGAAAGACACAACGCAAACTGCAGCAAAATAACAAGGATGCCAGGAGGAGCACAGGAGTGCTTCAGAAAGTTTGTGGGAAGTGTGCATTATCTTTTAATTCTGTTTTTCAATGAACTTTTTTGAGTACCCTTGTATGGTAGGATGAGATTTCATATGTCTAGTGGGCCTTGACAAAGAATATGGCCTTTAGTTGTAATGGGAAACCACTGGAGAATTATAGGCAGGGAACTATGTTAATTCTTATTTAAAAAAAGATTGGACTGGCTGTTGTGTGAGAATTCACTATCAAGCCGACAAGGGTGGAAGCAGGGAGCCCAGCTGTGTGGCTGGTGCAGTAGTTCAGGGTGAGAGTCAATAATGGCTTGAACAAAAGATAAGGAGCTGAAATAGGCCGGTTTAAATAAGTTAACCTATGTGTAGGAAACAAGGATATGAATAGACAAGTCACAGAAAAGAAATGTAGATCCTTAAACAGCATTTCAAACAGAAATGCACTTGAAACCTGTAGTGCAAATTTTTTTCTTGCTAATGGAAAATCCAGAAAATGTGACAGGGTTTTCTTTGAGGCTGTGAAGAAAGCTACATTTATATATTGCTGATAGAAATGTAAAATGGTTTGCCCCCATAAAGGGGAATTTGGCATGTCTGACAACATTGCAAATGCGTTTAATCCAGAAATCCTACTTTGAGGAATATACCCTGAAGTTATAATCCACAGTTATTAAACAACATATGCACACATTTTCTGTTTGGTGAAATGAAGGTAACTTTACAACCCAGAAGTGTTACTTCTAAGGAATCAAGGAAAATGCCTTTAGGTATATAAAACTAAAAGAAGGTTATTTTGTGGTATGTTAAATGCCATGTCTTAGTTATGGTCACAGAAGCATAGGTTGAGGACTGAAACAGTTAAGGCAAGACAGAACTGACATGGGAGCAGGTATAAAAGTGAACTTCCATGGGGCTGGTGCTATGGTGTAGTAGGCTAAGCTTCCACCTGTGGGACCACCATCCAATAGGTACGCCAGTTTGTGTCCCAGCTGCTGCTCTTGCAATCTAACTCTCTGTGTATGGCCTGGGAAAGCAGTAGAAGATCCGGAAGAAGCTCCTGGCTCCTGGCTCCTGGCTCCTGGCTTCAGTTTGCCCCAGGTCAGGCTGTTGCCCCCATTTGAGGAGTGAACCAGCGGGTGGAAGACCTCTTCTCTCTCTTTGCCTCTGCCTCTCTGTAACTATCTGCCTTTCAAATAAATAAATAAATCTTTTTTAATAAAGAAAGGAATTAAACATCAACTTAAAGCATGCGTGCCTCAAAATACATCTTCAAGAAAGTGAAAAGGTGGGGCAGGCACTGTGGTGCGGTGGGTAAAGCCTCCGCCTGCAATGCCAGCATCCCATAAGGGCACCGGTTAGAGCTCTGGCTGCTCCACTTCCCATCCAGCTCTCTGCTATGGCCTGGGAAAGCAGCGGAAGATGGCCCAAGTGCCACCCACATGGGAGACCCAGAAGAAACTCCTGGCTTTGGGTCAGTCCAGCTCTGGCCATTGTGGCCACTTGAGGAGTGAACCAGGAGATGAAAGACCTCCCTCTGTCTCTCTCTCTGCCTTTGCCTCTCTGTAACTCTGTCTTTAAAATAAATCTTTAAAAGAAAAAAAAAAAGTGGGCTTCCAGACCTGCTAGTTCCTGATCTAGATGGGCACACAGGCTATGCTGTGCTCTGTGCCCTCTGGTGAGGAAGGCCTGCTCTAGGCCAGCGGGTAGGAATTACCTGAAGGGTGGAAAATGTGGACTCAGGGAGATAAAATCATCCGTTTACATGGTAATTGTGAGACATGAAATGTTTGTGTTATGGACCATAAAACCAATACAATGTGCAGTGTAGGGATGATAGAGCAGCTCAGTAAATCTTTAAATAAATAGGTGCCTAGGAACTGCTGAAAGCTTCTATTTAATTGGGATATGTTGAAATCAATCTTTTCTGAAATAGGCTGCTGCTGTCAGAGAATTTCTTGGTCACTACCCTCTCCCATTAATATTTTGACAAGAAAAATAGTTTCTTGACAGTTTGATTGCTTAATTGTAACACTTGTAGCCTTTAGTAATGCATTTTGTTTACTGTAAGTTGGGTATCATTGTATCATTTCACAATTTTAACATCTGTGTAATTGGGATGGATTTCAACAGTGAAAAAAGCTGGGGCCAATGCATGTTAAAGCCCCAGCCTGCAGCACTGGCATCCCATATGGGCGCTGGTTTGAGTCCTGGATGTTCCACTTCCAATCCCAGCTCCCTGCTGATGTTCCTGGGAAAGCAGGCAGGGTGGCCCAAATCCTTGAGCCCCTTCACCCCTGTGGGAAACCCGGAAAAAGCTCCTGGCTTTTGATGGGCTCAGCTCAGGCCATTGCAGCCATTTGAGGAGTGAACCATTAGATGGCAGATTTTTCCCTGTCTCATCTGTAACTCTTTCAAATAAATAGAATCTTAAAAAAAAAGAAAGAAAGAAAGAAACTTGGTTAGAGGAAAAGCAATATTTGCTGTCAGTGGTGTTTTACAGATTTCTTCTGAGGTCTGTTTGCATAAAAATCCTAGTTTAATGTTTTTGAATTCATGCTTTTTCTACAGTAATGTAGCATGCTGTTAAATTAGGCTTCTATTTAACCAGATAGTACAAAAGTGGTGAGTCTTAAAATAGTGATTTTTTTTCCTCCTAGTCATTTGGGCGTGGAGTTAATGGGGAGTACAAAAATAATTGTAAGTGTGTGAGAGTTTATTGCCTAATAACTTAAATATTCATTCTATAAAATAACAAAGTGTGGTATTTGTCATTAGCAGAAAGTACCATTTACATAGAAAACTGGTAGCTCTAGGAAGGAAATTAATAGTTTGTGCAAACCTCATACCTGCAGTACATACAGATAGGAAATTCACCAAAGTGGAAGTATCATGACCAACTATGGGAAAATGATCACCCTACAAATGTGATCATTTGTAAATAAATCCAAATTAGAGCCACTGGTGGTATTTCTCTTTCATATCAGTGGAAACTGTTTAGTATCCAAAGTTGGGGTAGGAGCTAAAACTGATAGAATTATACCCTGATGTTCCCTTACCTCTTTTAGAAAGCAACTTAACAACTTAGTTGAGCTGTGGAAATGATCCAGGCTTTGTTCTAGTCATCCTGCTTGTGAAAACCTTGCCTGAGGATATTTTTTGAAGATAATTTATTTATATATTTCAACCTTTTATTTATTTGAAAGGCAGAGTTAGGGGGGAGAGGAATAAGAGATTATCTTCTGCCTTCTGGTTCATTCTCCAAATGGCCAAGGCTAGACCAGGCTGACCAGGAGCCTGGAACTCCATCTGGGTTTCTCATGTAGATGGCAGGGACTTCAAACATGTGGATTTATTTATTTTATTTGAAAGGCAAAGTTACAGAGAGGCAGAGGCAGAGAGAGAGGTCCTTCATCCACTGGTTCACTCCCCAGATGGCCACAATGACTGGAGCTGCGCTGATCCGAAGCCAGGAGCTTCTTCTGGGTCTCCCACGTGGGTGGAGGGGCCCATGGACTTGGGCCATCTTCTGTTGCTTTCCCAGGCCACAGCAGAGAGCTGGATAGGAAGTGGAGCAGCTGGGACTCGAATCGGTGCCTATATGGGATGAGGGCACTGCAGGTGGTGTCTTTACCCACTATGCCAGAGCGCTGGCCCCAGACCATCTTATGCTACTTTCCCCAGGGCATTAGTTGGAAGCTGGATAGGAAGTGGAGCAGCTGAAACTTAAATCAGGGTTCATATGGGATGCTGATGTTGCAAGCGGCGGCTTAACACACTGCACCAGGACACTGGCCCTCTGGCCCATAAAGGTTATTTTAAAATAGTATTTGCACTGAGGTTTTCATCATAATTTTAAAAGAACAGGACTTTGTGAGTGCCTAAATTCTGAACATGGGGGCTTGGGTAACGAATACCATGTGATTGGCCATTCTGTATCTATTAAACAGTGAGCCTGTGCTACACTGAGGTAGAAATTGTTTTTCTGTAACAAAAGAAGACTTAGGTTGCATGCCAATCACAGTGGCTGGAGCTGCGCCTATCTGGAGCCAGGAGCCGCCTCTGAGTCTCCTGCCATGGTGCAGGGGCTCAAGGACTTGGGCCATCTTCCACTGCCTTCCCAAGCCATAGCAGAGAGCTGGATCGGAAGTAGAACAGCCAGGAATCACACCAGCACTGCAGGTGGCAGCTTTAGCCCCTATGCCACAGCACCGGCCCTTATGGATAACTTTTAAACAGAATGTTATTTTGGCTTTTGCAGATAGTTGTTCACGAGAAGCATTTGTTAAATAAGCTAGTGGCTTTTTAGGTGTTTCTACCTTTAATGTGATCATTAGCATTACTTGATAAACCAGGTGTCAGAGTTGGAAGTCAAAGAAAAAAAATCTCTTGTATAAACCAGGGAGTTCATGGAGTTAGTGAGGTGCTACTTAACCCAGGAATAAAATAGTCCCCTTAGAACCGTTCACAATTCTATTTTCTATTGATCTCTACTAAAATGACTTTTCTCTGTAAAAGGAGCCACCAGCAACTCCTGACTAGCTAAAGATCGTAGAGGACTGCTCTTTCTCTGATTCTTCGGGAGTCTCAGGAGAGCTGTGATTGATTGGCCAGCCCTGGTTCGTGTGCCCACCCTAAAGCCCTGTGTTGGAGGTGTACCAGTTGTCATTTGGGCTAAATTTGCTTTTTCCCTGCATGCTGTCATTTCCTTGCCTGCCTCCATTCCCTCCCCTTCCCAGATATTTTTGGTGAGTATGTATGTATTAAGCCAGCTGCTCTTTGATTCTGATATTTAATTTTCCTCTACTGCATTGACAATTGTGAATTAAACTTTTATGACATGTACATAATACAACTACTTTTGTTAATAATTCTGTAATTTGAAAAAAATTTTAAAATATTTGTTTTAATTTATTTGAAAGAGTTACAGAGAGAAGTAGAGACAAAGAGGTCTTCAATCCTCTGGTTCACTCCCCAGATGGCTGCCATGGCCAGAGCTGTGCCGATCCAAAGCCAGGAGCCAAGAGCTTCTTCCAGGTCTCCCATGTGGGTGCAGGGGCCCAAGAACTTGGGCCATCCTCTACTGCTGTCCCAGGCCATAGCAGAGAGCTGGATCGAAAGTAGAGCAGCCAGGACTAGAACAGGTGCCCGTATGGGATGCTGGTGCCTCTGGCCAGGGCTTTAACCTGCTGCACCATGGCACCGACCCTGAAAAAATTTCAAGTGGTAGTATATTTGCTTTCTTTTGGTAGGAAGTAGTTCTAAGCTTTAGGCTAGATACAGCTATTAAAGTCACTGCCTGTCACTTTGTACAAAAATAGTTTCATTTTTCCTAATTGCTCTCATCGTCTCATCTTTTCAAAGATGTGAAGAAAAGAAAACTTTAAAATAGTTTTTGAGTGGGTCTTTTACATAAGACTGAGTTTCTCTAAAACTATTAAAGTTTAATAAAGTTTAAATCAGTGAGTACTTTCATGAAGAACAAAGCAGTTGGTTTAGCTATGTAAGTTTTTGCTGGCAGCACTCTAAAAAATGGTGACTCCGATTTCTGTTAAAGAAGAAAATCCCCAAAATATGTTCATGCAACATTGTAACCATATTACTTGGAAGGTAAAGAAGGATTGTGGAATGTTTAGAGGCAGTAGTCACCTGTAGACTGATTTTTAATACATCATTGTGCATTTTGATTCTTTAAGAGCCAAGCATTGTGTGTACACATGTACTATAGAATAGGTAGATTACTATACTATACTATACTATACTATACTTACTATACAATACAGAGATATATAGTACATTCAGGTTTGGCCACTGGGCTTGTTTTTAAAAGGTAGAACGATTACCAACATGTAACTTGGGAAACACTGTCAAATATATTGTTCGCTATTATTCTTTCTGGATCTTGGTCCACTTTCTTACAAGATGAAGTGGTATCTTGAGATGGACATTGTTGAGGAGTGTCAGGGTTCTTTTTCCTCCCCTCACAACAAGTGTCATAATTTCCTGAGGGCAAAATTTGTTTCATGAAAATTCAAGAATCTCTCTAATAGTCTTGACTGAATTGAAGAAGTTTCTCAGCTTTGTGCAAAGTGGACTGCAGCCAGCTACCTTGATGTTAAGCCAACATTTTTTAGAAGCAGTACTATGATATACTTAAAAGAGATATTTTAACAAATATACTTTGAAGCCCCAAAGTAATCATGCCGTTAGAAGGAAAAGATGAGAATTTAACTTTGGAAATTGAGGAGAAAAGCTAAAAATCAGTTCTTATGATGGAAGTGGTTATAGCTTAGAACATTGAACTTGTATATAGCTCTCTTAAATCTGCCATGATGTATAACTTCCAGATAAATCACAGCTAACTAACTGAGTTCCCTGGTTGAACAGAGTTAGATTTAGCCATTTGATTGAAAAACATTTGCCTGAAACAACATTCTGTGTTAGCATATTTGATGTATTGGGCTGGCAGCTGACAGTCATTGGCCACAGCATCACTTGCTGCTTGAGACTGTTCCTGAAACATGCTGGCAGTGTCAGTATAGAGGAGGGGGGGGACTGCATTTCTACTTGGTAAGTGGGAGGGGAAGAGGGCATGTATCAGTTTAGTTTCTTTGCATCTGATTATTTAAAAGCATATTTTTAAAACAAAAAAATTTTTTTTTGACAGAGTGGACAATGAAACAGAGAGAAAGGTCTTCCTTTTGCCATTGGTTCACCTCCCAATGGCCGGTGCACCGCGCTGATCTGATGTCAGGAGCCAGGAGCCAGGTGCTTCTCCTGTTCTCCCATGCGGGTGCAGGGCCCAAGCACTTGGGCCATCCTCCACTGCACTCCCTGGCCACAGCAGAGAGCTGGACTGGAAGAGGAGCAACCGGGACAGAATCCGGCTCCCCAACCGGGACTAGAACCTGGGTGCCAGCGCCGCAGGCAGAGGATTAGCCTATTGAGCCACGGTGGCGGCCTAAATGCAGATTTTTTTTAAAAAGTCTAGATATAGGCTGGTTTTAGTCCATGTATAGAGACATTCTATGATTTTGTATTTTCCAGAATTTTTATATTGGAACTTTAATTTCTAAAGTTTCTCCAAGACTGTTAAAAGTGCTTAAAATTGATGTGTAGCTGTTTTTAAAGCTGTCTACTTTTCTACTCAACTGAATTATCACATATTTTTTCTCTTTCTCTATAGATCTAGCTTTGGAATCAAACCCTTCTGATCATCCAAGGGCAAGCACAATTTTCCTGAGCAAATCTCAAACAGATGGTAAGACAAAATCCTCCTGGTCCAAAGACAAGACTGAAAAAACAATTTGTTTTATGGGGCATATACTATAGAAAGTATTTAGAAGAGTTCATATTTGTTTAAATTTTTCAAGTTTTTAAATAGTCATTTGTTTTTTAATGTGTATTGATGTTCTTTCCTTTAGTTGTCACTGTTTTAATGAGAACATGTAGAACTTTATGGTTATACACATTGACACCTCTTTGTCAGCATGATTAGCTGTACTCTTTAGAAGTAGTTGTGGAGTTATTTCTCTATGCTACTTTGCCCTTTTTGCTTTGTTGTGAAAAACATGTTTTAAAAATGAATAATGGGATTTTGGTTACAGTTAGGTTTTCATTTTAACAAATCACAGAAATCAGTTTTTATATATGGTGATAGAATCTGTGATTTTGGCCTCATTTTACAGTGTTCTAAACAAATAGGCCTGTCTCACATCCCATCTAAGGCTACTCAGAACTTATAAGCTATTCAAAGCTTTTTCTTCTTAATGTAGTAAAAGAGACTCAGTGCGTGAAACTGCTATACATTTTCTGTGTCCCGTTAGTTTTAGGATGAGAATCTTCCTGCTTATTTTTCTTAATGTTATGTTAAATCTTAGTTTATTAGCTAAAAAGCCATGCATGCTCAAGTTATCCAATTACTTATGATAGCAAGAATACAGGAAGCAAAGGTTCAGTAATAATATTTGGGAGTGACAGCACAGTAAAAAAAAAAGGGGGGGGTGTATTTCTAAAGTATGATTTCGTAGTTTGTATGTCACTTGTCTCAAGCCAGTCATTTCTGGTTAGGGTTCTTGTATTTCCCAGTTTCTTCTGCAGCCAGGGGCTTCTCATGTAGAGAAGAGTCTATGTAGGAACAAGTGCCCATGTGTCTTCAGTGGTCAGGAGCGGTTGCTTATCGTGCCTGGTTAGCAGTGGATGAGGAGGGTGTGTGGGAAATAAAGTCCCTTTCTGGAGCTTTTACTTTTCCTGACCTTTGTTAGAGCAAAATGATTTTGTGTGCTGTACATAATCCTGTTCAGTTACATATGAACCTCATTTAAGATTTAAATTTAAAATACATACTTCACACTTGTGTAAAGACTTTTTCAGTAGCATTTTTTTTTTCCCCAGGCAGAGTGGATAGTGAGAGAGACAGGGAGAAAGGTCTTCTTTTGCCGTTGGTTCACCCTCCAATGGCTGCCACGGCGCACCACCCTGATCTGATGGCAGGAGCCAGGTACTTATCCTGGTCTCCCATGGGGTGCAGGGCCCAAGCACTTGGGCCATCCTCCACTGCACTCCTGGGCCACAGCAGAGAGCTGGCCTCGAAGAGGGGCAACTGGGACAGAATCTGGCGCCCCGACCGGGACTAGAACCCGGTGTGCCGGTGCCGCAAGGCGGAGGATTAGCCTAGTGAGCCGCGGCGCCGGCCTAGTAGCACATTTTCATAGATTACCAGGGGTGGTTCAGGATGCTTCAGGGCTTCTGGTGCAGCACTGGTCATTAGCATTATCAATTGTTGGGTCCTAGAACTGAATGGAAGCTGTATGTGTATATGTAAACATAGAATCAGAAAACACTATTGGGTAGCAGTTCAGATATGTGACAGGTGACTTTCTTATCAAAATTTCTCAACTGGCCTGATTTGTTTTGCCCTCCTTTTTTATTTTTGGAGATCTTTTCATTTGCACCTAATGAATACCTGTTAGTCCAAAAAGTAAAAGTAAGTTTTTAGATTTTCCTTTATGAGACTCACCTTGCCAGATGATTTAAATTATTGATTTCATTAGAAATTATGAAAAAGAATGGAATTTTATGTTATTTTGTACGTTGGTAATTCATTGACTATTTTAACAATGACTTTTATTCTTCTATGGCATTCGTATCAGAATTAATCAATGTTTTTTATTCTTAGTGCGAGAAAAGAGGAAGAGCAACCATTTAAACCATGTAAGTAAACAATTAAAAAGTTAAGAAATGAATGCTTTGCATTGAAAATATGTCTGCCATGATATCTGAAAAATATAATGGGAATACTTTCTGTGGATTTTCTAAACCTTATTTTTCCCAAGTATCAGATTTATTCAGGAAAGTCCTTGGCTTAGTAGTGGCCATTTTTTAAGGTTTTCTGACATTTAAGTTAAATTTCAATTACATCATTGTAATATAAAATCTGCCTTAAATTTTGTAGTCTTGTTTTTAATCAAAGTAACGCAATTATAATATCAAAATTAGCTTTCAGTGCTACCTGTTAACTTCTTAGCCTGATAGGTAAAAGCTTAGCTCCCTCACTCTCCTATGGCCTTATTCTCCCCACCTCCATTTCCTTGACATGTATTACATTTTTTATTAGGTCAGTAATCAGTATTTACATTATATTTGTGCAAATATGTTCACTACTGAGTCAAACAATATTCTGACTGTACCTCCTTTGAGTATACTCATCATTCTTTGTCTTAAAGATCTCTAAAATTCGAACATTTTTCCTGTATAATCTCCCTTTCCCTAGTCAACATCAGCTCACACACCTAAGTGCAGTAGCCCTTGGCTGGTCTTCCTGCTTTCGCATTCTTCATTTTTGTGTGGAAATAATTTCCTGATTGTATTCACTTGCCTATTTTTTAACAAGTATTTCCCCCTCAGAATGTTGTAACATTTGTCACATGCCTATCAGAAATATTTTCCATCTACTAAAACACATCTGTTCTGTTTTTCTCTTGTAGACAAACTTCCTCAGCCTTTTGTCATCCTACTCCAATAGAGACGACTGGTTTTTCACTAGGTCTGCTCTCTGTTTTCCTGGGATATCTCTTTGAAGTCATCTAGGATCTCACATAACTGCTCTCTTGTGTCAGATCCTCTGTGTCCTAGATTCTGTTTTATTCTGTCTCATTGTGCTCCCTTGTTTTACTGGAATGCATTTTACTAGGGTTCATTTTCCTGGCAAGGGCACATGGGCATTTTCAGAGATCTCCCCTGTCTGAAAAACCCCTCCTGTTTGATGGAGTGTAGAATTGCAGCTTGAAACTAATTCTCATGGTTCTTGAAGACATTTCTGTTTTGACTTCTCGTGTATAGTGTTGCTTTTAAATCTGTTGCCATTGTATGATACACATTAGCCAGGTTTAGTCATTTTTGCTCCATTCTTCCGTTCTTGGATTCTGAAATTTCATAATACGATTTGGTATGATCAGGTTCATTTTATTGGCACCACTAATGTGCAGAGTATGCCTTCTTCTAGAGAATTTTCTTCTTTGATATTTTCTCTGTTTGTTCCTTTTTCTTGTATGTTATTCAGATGTTGGGCCTCTTAGACCAGACCATTGTTTCTGCACAAAATGTCTAATTTTCTTTCACTCTTATTTTCAGGTTTCTCTTTTCGCTACACTTTCTGGAGAGCCCATGACTTATGCTCTGATACTTCTGTTGAATTTTTCATCTTGTTGAGGGTGTTAGGAATTTTTTTTTAAGTTTTTATTTGCTCCTAAAGTTTTATTATTTTCATGAGTTTATTTTTCTTACTATTTTTAAAATTAAAAATTATTTATTTAAAAGGGAGAGAGACAAAGAGCGAGATCTTCCATCTGTTGGTTTATTCCCCAAATGCCTGTAATAGTTGGGACTACGCCAGGCCGAAGTCAGGAACTCCAGCCAGTCTCCCACATTGGCAGGAACTCAAGTATTTAAGCCGTCGTCTGATGCCTCCTAGTGTGCACTTCAGAAAGAAGCTGGAATTAGAAGTAGAGCTGGCACTCAAACCCAGGCACTCCATTATGGGATGCAGGCACCCTAAGTGGTTACCCCTTCTTGTTTAGATCTCTTTTATTGGAAGCTTCTGTCAAATGTAGGGGGCCCCTGGGTTTCTCTACTTGGAAGCACCAGTGTGAGCAGGACTTGTCAACTGAAGGGTATCGCTGGGAGGATTTGGGGTACTTCAGTGTTTTATCTGGGTATCTTAATGTTTCTTCAGAGAAGGATCTCCCAGTTTTCTGCCTGAAGACTGTCTTCTTTCCAGAAGCTGGGCCAGGAGTTGGAGATCATTTCCGTACACAGTTTCCCCCCATTATTTCCCTAAGACTGACAGCACTGAGCCCAGAAGCCCTCAGGTTTAATCCCTCTAGAGAATACACATCTAGATTCCTTATAAAAAGCATATTAATAGGCCTGGAGCTGTAGCATAGCGGGGTAAAGCCGCCTCCTGCAATTGCTGGCATCCTGTATGGATGCTGGTACATGTCCCAACTGTGCCATTTCTGATCCAACTGCCTGCTGTTGGCTCCAACTCCCTGCTGTGGCCTGGGCAAGCAGTAGAAGATGGCTCAAGTGCTCAAGGGCCCCTGCTACCTGTGTGGGAACGCTGGAAGAAGCTCCTGGCTCCTGACTTTGTTCTGGTCCAGCCTTGGCTATTGGGCCATCTAGGGAGTGAACCAGCAGATGGAAGATCTCACTGTCTCTCTTTCTGACTTTCAAATAAATAAACATAAAAAAAGACTAGCTGGACTTCAAGCTCTAACCGCAGAATTTCTTTTTCTTTTTCTATTTTTTTTTTAGGAGGTGAAATAGCAAGGTTTATTAGGGAAGGGACATCCGTAAGGACAGATGGGCACCTCTCCAGACAGGACCTGAGAGAGTGCAGTCGTTCGGACTGGGGGTGGGTGGGTAGGGGTTACATTAACCACAGAATTTCAAATGACTCTTGGCCTTGTTTTTTTTTTTTTTTTTTTTTTTTTTTTAATTTATTTTTGATGGGCAGAGTGGACAATGAGACAGACAGAGAGAAAGGTCTTCCTTTTGCCGTTGGTTCACCCTCCAATGGCCGCCGTGGCCAGTGCGCTGCAGCCGGCGCACCTCGCTGATCCGATGGCAGGAGCCAGGTACTTATCCTGGTCTCCCGTGGGGTGCAGGGCCCAAGGACTTGGGCCATCCTCCACTGCACTCTTGGGCCACAGCAGAGAGCTGTTGGCCTTGGTTTTATATTCTACTCTACCTTCCAAGGGGTTGTGTGCCTCTGTGCTCTGAACCTGTATTGTGTTTTACAAGATAAACTGGCTTGCTTGTTCCGTTCCTTGTCACTCTCCATAAGTGCCGAAGTTGTGTTTGCTCTGCACTGTCAGTTATCTCTCCTCTATCTTTTTCATGTTTCAGACATTAAAAAACATCTGCTGTCAATACTGTCTCCCAATCTTGCGTGTAAACTTTTTATTTTATACTGTTAATTCTAATGAGGTTTCAGGAGGCAGAGGAAATAGACTTGTCAGTCTACCAGATTTTACCCAAACTTAAAGTGTAAATCTAAGTTTAAATTCAGTGTAATTAATACTATTTAACTAGACATTTCTAGTTCTGCTACAACTGGCAAATTACAGTTGTCTACTAAAGATTTAAGAATTCTATTCAAACCACTCACCCTGTCGTATTTGTCCCCTGTAGTGCCATTGTCCCATTACTGTGTAATGGAGTAATTTCAATTAATGGCTAAAGTGTTGGAAAATTTTAAGTTAATTAGAAGTTGTTAGTTCTTAAACATATTTAAAACATACCTTGTAAAAAAGAGAGGATAAAAAAGTGAATTTCAGTTTTTTTTTTTTTTAAATAGGTTAAAATAAGGGATAGTAGGCACAATGGGTAAAGTTAGTACATGGGGGTAGAATGTCTGTATATACTTGACCTCTGATGATAAGGTGGGGTTGGGACTTACTGGACTACTAGAAAGATTTATTTTCTAGTTTTTCTCATTTGGTTTACAGTCTACTAAGTGTCTCCTTGCTTCCTTGTAAAGACTGTAATATTCCATACTCTGTCATTTGTGCTGTCTGAGTGAAGATAAATGCTATTCCTGTCCCCATGTGTTTTGTTTTGTTTTGTTTTCTGACAGGCAGAGTTAGACAGTGAGAGAGAGACAGAGAGAAAGGTCTTCCTTTCCATTGGTTCACCCCCTAAATGGCCGCTATGGCTGGTGCGCTGTGCCGATCTGAAGCCAGGAGCCAGGAGCCAGGTGTCTTCTCCTGGTCTCCCATGCGGGTGCAGGGCCCAAGCACTTGGGCCATCCTCCACTGCCTTCCCAGGCCACAGCAGAGAGCTGGACTGGAAGAGGAGCAACCGGGACTAGAACCTGGGGTGCCGGCGCCGAAGGCAGAGGATTAGCCAAGTGAGCTGTGGCGCCTTCCCCCGTGTGTTTTAATAACTGTCAGTCAGTAGCGGTTTTGTGATTTGATTTTTTAGTAATTTGCATTTTTTAACCTAGAAGACTTTTATTTAAGGTATATAAACTTCATGCATTTCATATACACAAATTTAGGACCATAGTGATTCTTCCTACCTTTCTTCCTCCTCCCTCTCTTATTCCCATTCTTATTTTTTACTAAGATCTATTTTCAACTAACTTTATACACATAAGATTAACCCTACATTAAGTAAAAAGTTCAACAAATTGTATGAAAATAAATTAAAAAAAAAACTCTTCATCAACAGTCAAGATAAGGGCTGTTCAGTCATGGCATCTCAAAGTGTCAATTTCACTCGTATAGATTACCTTTTAGGTGCTCTATTAGTTATCACAAATCAAGGAGAACATATGGTATTTGTCTTTTGGGGACTGGCTTGTTTAGTAATTTGTGTTTTATATCCATGTGTTTGTCAGTATAGTTCATTGAGGTTGTGAGCCAGCAGTGGTAAGGCTTTAACCATAAAGGACAATTGTCTTATATTTTCAGGCAGGCTGAGGGAGGAGAAAGTTACTTGTTGGCAGCCGGGTTCCAGATTTTGCTCAAAGGCTTAATTATGCCCACCTCTAGTCTCAAGACACATGGAGATGCTCTTGATAATGAGAAGTTTGAGTAGTTGGAAGAAAGTGCCATGTCACGTTTTCTGGTCACTCTGAAGTTTGGAAATGACCTGGTTGGGAAAATAAAACAAAATAGTCTTTTCCCTGAAAATTCCTTTGCCTGGTTGTTGAGTAGGAGTTTAAAGCAAGCCAGAATAGCACCTGGGGAAGTATTCAGTGTTTCTTTGGCTGGATCTAGGCATAGACCATACATTGCTGAGGTGCTAAATGAGCCTCTAGAGGCTGTAAGACCATGTCTGATTAAAAAATTTAAATGTCTTAGCATGAATGTTTCAAAAATAAACCAGTACATTCATATAGAAAAGAACCTTTAAATGGAGGAAAAATGGGAGAAAATGTCATCATCTAATCAACAAATTCATTTAAAACTATAGTTTGGTGCATTTCCTCCCTTTTTATTTCCTTACAGAAATTTTTCTCATCAGAACTGACTTTCATCAGGTGTGGTGTGTGCCATTTTACCCCCAGATACATGTTGAGCAGCCCTAAACCAGAAATTGAAATGCTCCCAAACCCAGAACCTTTGAACCCCCATGCTATGCCGCAAGTAGAAAATTCTGTCCCAGTCTTGTGTGATGGATCAGGGTGAAAATGCAGGTACACTAAACATAGCACAGGAAATTCCTTTAGGCTGTGTGTATAGAGTGTATATGGAGGATAAATGAATTTTGTGTTTACCCTTGGGTTGCATCTTCAAGATATCTTATTATATATGTGTAAACTATACCAAAAATAGCCAAGATACATCTGACACCCACACATATTGCTTTGTTGTTTTTGATTTTATTTATTTATTTGAGAGATAGAGTTACAGACAGTGAGAGGGAGAGACAGAGAGAAAGGTCTTCCTACCGTTGGTTCACTCCCTAGATGGCCGCAATGGCCGGAGCTGCGCCGATCCGAAGCCAGGAACCAGGTGCTTCTTCCCGGTCTCCCATGCGGGTGCAGGGGCCCAAGGACTTGGGCCAACTTCTACTGCTTTCCCAGGCCATATCAGAGACCTGGACTGGAAGAGGGGCAGCCGGGACTAGAACCGGCGCTCATATGGGATGCCGGCACTGCAGGCGGAGGATTAACCTACTGCGCCACAGAGCCAGTCCCTATTGTTTGTTTTTTTTACAGATTTACTTATTTGAAACTCAGAGTTACATAGAGAGAGAAAGATCTTCCATCTGTTGGTTCACTCCCCAGATAGCCACAACAGCCAGGGCTGAGTCAGGTGAAAGCCAGGAGCCAGGAGCTTCATTTGGGTCTCCCCTGTGGGTGCAGGGGCCCAAACACTTGGGCCATCTTCCACTGCTTTTCCCAGGCCATTAGCAGGGAGCTGGATCTGAAGTGGAGCAGCCAAGACAAGAACAACTGCCCGCATGGGATGTGAGCCTTGCAGGCAGTGGCTTTACCTGCTCTGCCACAGCGCTGGCCCTGGCTCACACATTTTGGATAGGAATACTCAACCTGTCATACTGACCTTAAAAGACACCTTCTTCCACTTAGAATAAAAATATTTGAATGAATCAATTTTCATTTTTCATGTTGTATTATATTTTGAGGATATAAAAGTATACACACTGCCATTAGCACATCTGTTTAGTTCATGTAAACAATATACATTAACTGGATAATACCTTAAGAAACACCAGGTTTAGATAGGCTTAAAGCAGTTCTAGCTTTGAGAGAATTGCATCCTCCATTTAGTAATACTTTTTAACAGCATAATATCTGAGACTTTGTTAATAAGGAAAAGCAATTTTTCAATAAAAACATCTAAAACAAGCCAAGTGCTGTTTTCTAGATTATACATGTATTTCTGATTATGGCTCCTGGCAGTTTTGAAAGACTGCGTACTTTTAAAAGCAAAGGTACATCTTTTGCTTGGCCTGTCTTCCATGTGTTTGTGGGGGATACTGATGGGATCGTGGGAAAGCATGCTGAAAACTTTTGTATTATCAGGAAGGAAGGCTCATCTGAATTAGTTTTGAAAAAAGTTAAACTTTAATGGTATTCTGTGGTTTTTAAAGAATGTTCTTATCTTCAACTGTCGAATGAGATTTGGTTCTTGGCCTTACTTTTAAGGAAGAGAATTGTCTTTACAGAGTTTAGGCTCTTTGAGTATTTGACTACTGGTATATTCTTGACTCTTCACAAATAAATGGATACTTCTAAAGTGTTTTAAAGATAATTTATTTCTCTCGGGGGCAAAAAAAGTTTATTGTCACCTCTCCAGTACCACTATAGACAGATTCTAATTTGTATCTGTAGTAAGATTTATCTTTCAAATGGTAAATGGTGCTGAATAATAATTTATCAGACACTTGAACTCCCTAATTTACACCATTCTGGGCTTGGCAGCCAGCGGGTGGCAGCAAGAGGAAAAGCCCTGTTCTCCCTGTGGAGGCTCACTTTCTTAGTTAGTGTGCCCCAGGTGGGGAATGAGAAGAATGAGTGTACACAGAGGGCAAGCTTTGGTGGGGTCAAGTGGATTGGGACGGGGGAAGAAAAAGGCTTTGTAGGTAGAGAGCAGCGTGAATGGAGTGGGAGTGTGTCATGGTGCTTGTGTCATATGACTTGGAGGATAAAAATGAATAAAATTTTGAAATGCAAGGTATTTTCTGAGGTTTTCATTTGCATAATACGATGACAATCTTATTTAAACTTGAGATGAAAGTTAAATGCCCAAACTTGTTTTTGCCCTGTGTTCTTTGGATGTGTGAGAATCTTAAAGTGATTCGCTTTTACTCTCCACTTAGGGAAACAGGCCCAGGAGACCCATGGCCCTTTAGCTGCTTACTGATCTGGCAGCCCTGGCACACAGAGCCCCTGACTCTAAAGCATTCATTTCTCATGTCTCCTGAACTAAGACATTTAGTATCAGTCAATTAATAAGTTTAGTATTAGGCTTTCATTTACTGCAATAAAATGCTCTTGCACCAATATTATTAATGACATTACATTTTGTTGTTGTAAATGAGTAGTGGAAATAGGAAATTTGAGCTTCTTTTTATTGCTTAAGAAAAAAAATCTTACTGTAAACTTCTTACATTATTTATAAAGGGAATTTGTAATAGATACTTGCCAGGTTTGACTGTGGGTGAAATATCAAGGGCAGCATTTTATAACCCATTCCTGGAACACGGTGGGAGTTAAGAGCCTCCAATGGGTTTCCCATGGACCCACACATGATATCACACTCAATCAGTTCATGTAGTGTAAGAAATACCTTAATGCTTTATCGTTTGACATTTTAACCAAGGGAAAAAAAAGCACATTTTATAGGTTTAACTTACTGTGACATTTTCTTCTATTTCCCTTCCCCTTCAGGTATCTCCAGGGCAGCTTACTAAAAAGTATAGCTCATGCTCAACAATATTTCTAGATGACAGCACAGTCAGCCAGCCTAATCTTAGAACCACAATAAAATGGTGAGTACAACTAGGTTGCCAAGGGCTAAGTGACAGACCCCTTATGCTAAAAGCATCCCAGCTGTACTTGGTAATTTTAGCCACGTGATTGTCCTTTTCAGTGATCAGCTTAAGAAATGGGGGTCAACTATATATTGATTTTAAGAACCTAAATATGAATTTTGAATTTACATTTTAATCTTAGCTTGCATGGTAGAAGGGAAAGCCAGTTAGCAAATAAGGAATCCCAGAAGTGTACCTCCTTATTTGATGCATTTATATTGTTAAGGCGCTGTTGAACATAATATGGAGAGGTGCTTTTTGTTGGATGTTTCTAGAAAAAAATTAGTTCAATGTGAGTTACAGGTCTAAAACAATGTTTGCAACTTTAGTAAGGACTCCTGGAGGAAAGGACAGCTTGTCCTCTATTGACACCATAGTGCATCTGCCTGAGCATCTCACAGGTCACACTGGGAGATGTACTTTCAAAACACTCTAAGATAGACCTTTCAAGCTTATTAAAACAGCAAAGAACATAAGGTGCAGAGCTTCCCCACTATATCAGGTCATCTAGGGAACATTATTAGCGTCTCCTTGGGTTGTGGATGTTGATTTTCAGAATACAGTTTGGGAAATGCTTTGGAATATTAATATCCTTATACCAGTCTTACTTTTTAGTCAAAAAATGTAATTAGCTGATGAACTTTATTTGTAATATGGCAGCTTCTTTAGCCAATTTATTAGTAACTTCTACTCAAAAATTGCATGATGATAAAACTTTCCTTTCTCAACAACAGTGAAAATCAAATTTTCAGCAAAAACTGAACCCAGACTCTGAAGTCTTGAGTGTGGCACCTATCAAGTAATCACTGAATATGTTCAACCAAGGCCCTAAAAAATCCCTAAGTAAAAGAAACCACTCTACTCAAGCTAGAGTCCTTGACTTTTTAATTCAGAAGATTCTGGCATTTCAGTATATAATTTGAAAGTAATTTTAAAGATTGACTTTGTTCAAACAAGTAGGTTTCATGCAGGTTTTCTCAACTTAGTTTCTAATTTTTAGAAGTCTCTTTTTGAAAGTTCAGTAAGTTTTAATTTTCTCTGATTATGCTTCACAGGTGACTGTTTTGCAAATTCACTATTGGTGAAATAAAGGTTTATTGAACAAATAGGGCAAATTGACTTTTAGAAAGATTTTGAAAAGTTTATCTTGGGATGTGAATGCATTGTTCTCAGTGGGATGGATGAGCTATATTGGAATCACTTGTGCAACCTTTTTCAAAATACATATCTGCAAACACGTGCATTTTTCTACTTCCATCTTCCCTCCCATTCCTAAAAGGTACTCCCAGCCTTGTAGGAAACTGGGGAGGGATGTGAGGTGTAATTATATGGGCAAAAACTTCATACTGATTCTGATCTTAAAAGCTCAGTGTTTCCCAAACTTTGCTGCACATTAGAATCACCTGGGTAACTTTGAAAAACGGTTGAGTCATACCCAATGCCAGTTAAATTAGTTAAATAAGCATATCTAAAGGTAGAAGTTGGGTGTTGTGATTGCAGTATGCAGCAGAGTTTGGGAACCACTGATTAATTCAGAGTGTAGGAGGAAACTGCTTCTATTTGGAGGGACCTTGGGCAAGTCAGTTTTGAGCCTTGGTTCCTTTGTTAAGTGGGCCGTTGGATTAAATGTCATGCAAGGTTTGGTGGTCCTTTTCAGCATTTAACTTCAAATTCTGTGATTTTAAAATTTGAGGACAAAACTGAAGCACTATAGAAGTATCCATCTTTGATGCTAATAATGTTACAGACTTTAAAATTTACATTTAAAATGTTTAAATGTTGTATAAATCTACTTTTAAAATTCAGATTTGCCTTCCCTCAATTGATTTGAATTTCACTTTGGACACTGAGGGCAAATGGAAGCATATAACTTACCTAAGAGAGAACCCTTTTGATCCCTAGTACACGGTATTTGTGGCTAAATCAGGAACACAGTAACATGTCTGAAAGAGTTGTTTGTTCATTAGTAATCTATTTAAATTAATTTGGAAATACTTGCCGTTAGTGTTATATTATGTAGTACTGTGCTGCATTGTTAGCACTGCTTATTTCAGGATAGCTAGACTTAGCATTATTTTGTGGACTCTTGCATTTACTATAAATTTTTTACCAATAACCATGCAAACGTGATCTTAAATATTTTTGTTTGAAGCACAGTTCTTTTATAATTTACCTTTATGGAAGTAATGAAAAAGGGTGGGTCAGTGGATGGTGAACTAAATCAACCTGATACATAGGGCCTAATGACTTAAAAACAAACCAACCAACCAATTTTATGGCTAACCTATTAATTGTCCTATATATAGGATGCCAATAAAGACTTCAGCACCACTTATGGTAACTTTGAAATAAATGTCATTGAAAAATTCTTAGAACTGAAAACTTGGAACTTAGGTTAACTTTAAACAAGTGTACAAATATAACTTGCACAGAATGGGAGGTAACATGAGTAGAAGGACAAATGATGGGAAATGTAATAATTTCAACATTATAATCAGCAGAAACATGTAGTCTAATAGCATATTGTATAGCATTTTGCTTCTCTTATTTTTTCTAAAAGCCAATGAACTAAAAAGGAAAGGAATTTCAGGGCTGCCCACACCCCTTTAAAAAATGCTCTAGGCCTAACATAAAATCAACTGTTAAAAAAATTTTTTTTTCCCTCCACAGTGTGACCTTAGCAATATATTACCACATAAAGAACAGGTGAGCTCTTTAAAAATCTGTCTTTTTATTCCACCTACTATAATGTTGCATGATAGCAGATTTAGTGTTAGGTCATAACTGTACACATTAACTGACAAATGCTTTTATTACAATACTGAAACATGTCTTTCAGATTTTTAAAAACTCTTGAGGATTGCAAAAGAATGTATGTTTATGTTGGTGATATGGATATTTACCATATTAGAAATTAAAATTGAGAATTGTTGGTATGCTAAAATCGGGTTTCTTAAGCTTGTCACTATTGATATTTTAAAGTAGGGAGTTCTTTGTTGTGGGGATTGTCACATGTGTGCATTACAGGATGTTTGGTCCCTACCCACCAGATACCTACCAGTGGCAGTTCCCCTCACATACTTCCAAACAAAAATGTGTTCTGGGGGACAAAGCCGCTCCGAGAACTGCATTGTTAAAATTAAATAATATTTTTCTCATGGGAAATAGCTCTTTTCTGCAACAAAAAAATTAGGTAAAAAATAAGTCATTTACATTTTTGCAAATCTCTAATATTTGGTTTAATAGAAAACAGTTGTATTCTTACGTTTTTTTTTCTAAAGATTTTATTTATTTGAGAGGTAGAGCTACAGACAAAGGAAGAGACAGAGAGAAAGGTCTTCCATCTGCTGGTTCACTCCTCAGATGGCTGAAATGATCTGGAGCCAGGCAGGAGCTTCCTCCAGGTCTCCCACGTGGGTGCAGGGGCCCAAGCATTTGGGGCATCTTTCACTGCTTTCCCAGGCCATAGAAGAGAGCCGGCTAGGAAGTGGAGCAGCTGGAACTAGAACCAGTGCACATATGGGATGCTGGCACCACAGGCAGAGGCTTAGTCCACTATGCCACAGTGCTGGTCCCTGCAGTGTATTTTGAAGATGCAATAGGATGATACCATTACTTTTAGGGAGGGTCCATACTTAACTTATGTGGATATATAGTTAGGAAAAGGTATATTTTAAAATCTTTCAAATAATTGTGAAATACTCAGCATTACATACAAATTCCACAACCGTTGATTTTTTTTAAGCTTGTTATAATTGAATTTACGTATCAGTGAAGTTGTTACATTAGTGTTTACTGTTTATCATGCACAATGAATAGATCTTTTACTTGTACATGACTTTATATTATGCATTTACACATTTGTTGTTTGGAAAAATGTTGGCTCATTGTTCTTTATAGTGTCAAAAATGCATTTTTGTTGGTATCACAGTCAGTCTTACCAAAAAGTCCTTTAGGTGTTGACAAGCTGTCAGGCTCATAATGGAAAATATCCTTATTTTTAACTTGAAAGCTTCAATTTTATTACTTGCAACAAATATTTTCCTTGACAGGCTCACTGTCCTCATTTTTGAGAAGATAGTTATTCTATTTTTTTTTTAAAGATTTATTTATTTATTTGAAAGGCAGAATTTCACACACACACACACACACACACACACACAGAAATAGATATTCCATTCACTGGTCCACTCCCCACATGGCCACAGCAGCCAGAGCTGGACCAGGCTGAAGTCAGGAACCTGCAGCATCATATAGGTCTCTCACGTGGGTGCTGGGACCCAAGCACTTGGGCAGTCTTCCACTGCTTTCCCAGGCACATTAACAGGAACCTGGATTGAATGTGGATTGCAGGTGGTGGCTTAACCTGTTTTGCCACAGTGCCAGCTCAGTACTTTCACATAAAAATGGTGTTCTGTGAAAAACAAAAAACAAAAACAGTTCCTTAGCTCACAACTAGATCACAAGTGTGATTCCTTACTAATCCACTACACTTCAATATGCAGAAGTAGTTTATGTAAACTTTCCTCAAGGACATTCTTAGGTGAAGCTTTATTTTTAAACTGTAGTGGACAACAGAATGGCAGCCAGTATAATTTAGAACCACAGCCTTGACTCATGCTGAGAAGCAGCAGCTTAGTCACTTTTGCTTTTATCCGATCATTGCACATCTGACTCGAGAAAGCAGGTAAGGCCTTAGTATTCCCATAAGAACTGTGCTGACCTTATGGGAACCACACTTGGGACACAGTGTATTCATTTGGTGAACTTTTACATGAAAAGACTGATTCCTTTTAAAATAAAAAGGCAGGTTTTTTTTGTTTGTTTGTTTGTTTGTTTTTTTAAGATTTATTTGAGAGGTAGAGTTACAGACGGAGAGAGAGAGAGAGAGAGAGAGCTTCCATCCTCTCGTTCACTCCCCAAATGGCTACAATGGCTGGAGCTGAGCTGATCTGATCTGAAGCCAGGAGCCTATTCCAGGTTTCCCACATAGATGCAGGGGCCCAAGGACTTGGGCCATCTTCTGCTCTCCCAGGCTATAAGCTGAAAGCTGGATCAGAAGAGGAACAGCCAGGACTTGAACTGGCACCCATATGGGATGCCAGTGCTGCAGGTGGATGCTTAGCCCACTATGCCACAGTGCCAGCCTGAAGGCAGTTAGTTTTTAACTGAGACTATTTAAAAGAAGCAAAAAATACATAAGAATATAATGTTGATAACTAAAAAGAGTTTTGGAAAACCTAGGAAGTCTGGATCTCATATTCACATTCGTTAAAGTTCTAAAGACTTCATTACCCATTACTACTGCTTTGTTTCAGTGTGAGGTTAGAGGAGTGAAAAAAACCCATGATTAATTGCATTACTCTTAGGGAGGGTCCATACTTAAAGGCAAGTCTAGTAGGTGTTGTACTTAAAATGATGAGTAAAATGAGGTCGTGAAGCCATTTTGAGGCCCCAGGGCCCAAGAGAAGAATTTGTAAAACTATTTACTTGAGGTGAGGCTTCTTCCTCCACCCTTATCTACCCTCTACTCGATGTTTTTACTCATATTAACAATTCCTGAATTAATATTTTAAATGCACATTGTTTTTATAGAGATGCAAATAGATCCCTGGATATTTTTGATGAGAGATCACATCCACTCACAGTAAGTGTCACTTTTTTTCTAATGTATTTCTCTCTCTCTCTCACTTTTGCTCATAAAATTTTTACCCCCCCCCCCAAACCTTTTTATTTTACTTAAGGTATACAAGTTTCATGTATTTCATATATACAGATTTAGGAACAACATAGCAATACCTCTCCCCTTCCCTTCCCTCCCAGTATTTTTCTCTTATAGAGTTATGTGTGTTTCATGCTGATTTACTTTGAGATTAATTACTAGAAGGAAATTACTTTCTCTAGCTTGAATTCAATTTGTCTTCCATTAAACCTCCCCCTCTCCCATTTGTATCTGATCATCTTATAAAAGGAGTGGTACATAAGGAATAGAGTACAGCAAGGTCTGATTTGATGCTTTGTGTAATTAGTGAGCTAAAGTGAGTAAATGTACTACCCAAATAACAAAATATAGCTTTCTGAAGGATAACTTTCAGTAACATCAAACTAAATATAACTGGATACCAAATGTAAGAAAAGAATTAGAAAAGTACTTCAACTTAAATAGTTTCAATCAATTCAATTAATTGAATTGAATTACTTTAAATAGATATATAAATTAAATCTGAGTAAAATGACAGAAATTTAAAAATTTATTTCCTCGGGTGTAATTTAGCCACTTTTGAGTGTTTGCTTAGCTCAATGTAGCTGGTGATTATTGTATTGGCCAGTGCAACCTGAGAGCCTTATGGCTATAGGAAACTCAAAATGTTTTTCAAAGCTTATTTCAGAGACGTATGATACATGATCAGTAAGACTCTGGAACATAAATGTAGTTTACATTTGCATAGAATTCTGTGGAAAGAAACATGAAAATTTCCTGAATTTGTGCTTGTACTTTTCTTTAATGAATGTGAGATGAGTATTGAGCCTTTATAGTATTTCCACTGTTGAAGAGACTAGAAGACAGGATCATTTGAAGGAACCCATGGGCACAAATGGAAAGAGGGCTATCTTAAGAATACTTAAAGTGTTTTTTCCTCAGTGCGTACTTACACGGCATCTTCTCTTTCAGAGAGAAAAGGTTCCGGAGGAGTACTTTAAGCATGATCCCGAACACAAGTTTATTTACAGATTTGTTCGTACTCTTTTTAGTGCTGCACAGCTTACAGCTGAATGTGCAATAGTCACTTTGGTAAGATATTTCTTATGCTTAAAAGATATTTAGAAATTGGTGTTCTACACAGAGTATGATCCTATGTTTTCAAATAGCAGTAGATTTCTGAAATTATCATCACAACTTTGTTAAGAGAAAATCTGTTGGAAAAAAGTAAATACACACATTCAGGTTTAATAGTCTTTGTGGTTTAGAATACTGTCAGTGCTTTTCTCACTACAAAACAATTGCTTTTAAAGGCAGGAGAGAGGAGTGTTCTTTCCCCACATTTCAGTACACACATGTACATGCTGCGTGCACACAGATATGTAAAAGACCTGTGGCTGATGGTAGGGAGGGGAGCAATGACAAAGCCATCTGGTCCACAGGCACAGACTGGTATAGTGTAGTTGTCAGTCCAACCCCAGGCTGTATTCCCCAGGCACTTCTGATGTGTGCTGTGATTGTGAGCTAGTGCCCTCAGTCTCTGTTCCTTGGCTAATAGGTAATAGATAACCTAGCCTTGATGACTTGGAGTGTCTGTTCATGAAGCTGCTGATTAGTGCTTAGAAAATGCCAGAGTGTCAGGAGTCCTTGGAAGCCTTTGTTGGCCTCCTAAGTGACAGCTGTGTCAAATGACCCCTGTGTCATTTGTACATATTTCCTGTGGTAATCCTTTATCATTCTGAATAGTAAATCCTGTTCAAGCAGTTGAAATTGTTTTACTCCTCCTCACAGCAAGACAGAGGAAAGTTAACTACAGGGCGGAAAAGAGTACTGAGGTCAGCACTTCTTTAGCATCCAGTTAGAATTTAGGGGAGGAGGCTTGTAGACAAGTTAAGCTTAATGTTCTTGTGAGACAGCAGAGTGGCAGTGTCTAGTCATCATGTGGATATATGGGACTGGAACATGTATCTGAGCTATCGTAAGGAATTAAGGGGAGCTGCTCAAATGCCGAGGAAGGTGTTAGAGAAAGAGAGATCTGTCAGGACTATCAGCATTAAGGGACAGGTCCTTAGAGGAGTGGCCAGATTGGGAGGAGGAAGAGCCAGGAGAGTAGGAAGAGAAGCTGTAGCCTCAGTGCTAAATGCTGTCTGCCCAGAAGTTACTGGCTATATAAATAGTGCCTGAGTACCTACTCTGTGCTTCTCATCTAAGTGCTGGCTTACCGGAGAGAGCAGGTTGAGCACAGTTTTGTTTTTATGAGCTTTTGTTCTAGTCCAGAAGAAATTTACTGTTTTAAATGTACAGATGTTTCAGATGTAGTGTAAATATCAAGAAGATAAAGCACAGGGTAAAGGGGTAGTGATTAGAGGGACTTAAAATTTTTAGGTGGAAAATCAGGAAGTGCCTCTGTAGAGAAGTAGTACTTGAAAGGTGCTCTGTATGAGGATGCTAAGGAGCTCTGGCATTATAGGTTGTAGAACAAGTACCAGGACTGAGACAGGCGCATGGCTGTGTGTTTGAGTAGCAGCAAGGTGGCCAGCATGGATGCAGTGGGGCATGAGAGAACAGAGGAGGCGAGGTCACCCAGGCAATCTCAAAGCACCATGTAGCTTGCAGGTCGTGGTTAGAAGTTAGATTTTTATTCAGATTAGATGAGTAACTTGGTAGATATGGAGCAGGGTAAAGTACCCATAAGAGGTTATTGTCACTGCTTTGGAGAGAATCATCCATAGGTGGGTGCAGAGTGGAGGTTTAGAAGGCAGCTCCGGTGGTGGAGATGAGCAGTGACACATGGCCACTCAGAATGGAAAGCAGTCAGAGCACCAGCAAAGGTAGTCGCTTTCTCGAGTTGCTAACAGGTAGCTCACAAGTAGGTTTTTGGCCTCAGCAATAGGCAAATGACAACATTAGGAAAGACTTGAGGAGTGTTTGTAAGTGTGAAGGCAGTAACGGCTTTGGCAAGAGTGGTCTAAAATAGAAAAAGAGTGGCTGGGGACAAATGAGAGAGGGTTGAGGAGAGAATTGGAGAAGAAATGAGAAGGCAGCATCAGGGTGTAATGTGAGCAGAATGAGAGAAAGTATTCTGGGAATGGTGGGGAGAGGGTTGGGAACAATGTAAACACACTCACACTGGGGGAAGTCTGGCAGAGGGAGGGCGTCTGAAAGAAAAGTACAGGAACAGTGTTCTGCAGAAGTGGACTGTACTGGCTTCACAGATAGAGGAGCTGCTTCAGCCACTGACACAGGGAGTACATGGTGTGAGTGAATGTCAGCAGATGACAGGCTCTATCAGTAATGGGTCCAGAGGTTGAAGGGCTGCCAGTGTTTCAGTGCTTGCTTGTTATTTCTGTAGAGACTTGAACCCTGGGAGGGCAGCTCACTCTAGGAAACTTGAGAGCACTGGGTTTTGGGAAATAGGAGCACAGTCTGAGAACATGTAATATTCAACTGGCATTTGTTTCTGCAAACACAGTTGAGTGTGGAGAACACTGCCAAATCTGAGCCATTAGTTTTACAACATTCAGATTGTAAACAGACTTTTAAAATTTGATCTTGATACAAAGAGTTCAAATAGCATATGCTCTCATACTCTTCTGCAGAACATCCTTTGAGATAACAAAAAACCGCAGCTTACCTCTGTAATCTCTCATTACCTCTCATCTCTCAGTCTTTCCACCTTTATAGGATAGATACTTCAGGTATGGCAAATAATGGGTGAGACTGCCTCACAAGCTGCTTGGTAGGTGTAGTGCGTGGAGTCCCAGGATACAGAGACTGGTGGCTGTTACTGCTGCTATAAAACTTACAGAATTGAGTAAGTTGTAGACAAAAGAAGTAATACAGAAAACAAATTCTCATGAAGTGATAGTAAAGATGTGAAGAATAGGGGCTAGGAGAAGGACCATTCTTCTGTGTGCATGTGCACCTTACACAGGCAGTGAGTACGGGAACACTGACCTGCTCCAGACCTGTGCCTGTTCTGCTTTGCACAGTGGCCACTGGGAGGCTCCCTTGTCCACCAGTTCTTTTCTGCAAGCTAACGCCACAGAAGGGTTAGCTACTGTGAAAAGACACGTGCTTGTCTTAGATATTCACACGTAATCACACATGATATACCATAAAATCACCATGTAACACCAGCCGGGCTGGGCACACTGCATGTGGCAGCACACAAGCATTTACTGACTGACCTGAGTGCACACCGGGCCTGTGTCTGCTCTCCTTCCCAAGCAGGGGAGTAGCAGCAGCGCTTCAGGATGCCCTCTGCGGAGATGTCCAGTCATTCCTGCAGCCAGAAATGTCTTGGAAGTTTGCATGAGCAGAGAAGGCAGCCTCTTTTGTAGAACCTAAGAATAAAAGGCTCTTTCTTTCTAGTCATAAATGGAAAGAATCTGTCAATCCTAACAGTTCTTACCATAGTATGTAAACTGAACTAAAATCAAAGACCAGTGCTCTACTTTTGCAGGTTTACTTAGAAAGACTTTTAACTTATGCTGAGATCGACATTTGTCCCACTAACTGGAAGAGAATTGTCTTGGGAGCCATTCTTCTTGCATCCAAGGTTTGGGACGATCAGGCTGTGTGGAATGTGGACTACTGCCAGATCCTCAAGGACATCACGGTTGAGGACATGTGAGTCTGTAAGGTTTTGGTGAACTTTCTATCCACTTTTCAGTGCTCCATTTGCTGTCCTAAAGTTCTATTTTAAGAAGTAGTTTTTAAAGGTTACATGGTGCAGATAATGGATATAGGTATGCAGCTTCATGCTTCTTTCTAGCTATAGTATAACAATCCAGATTTTCCATCAATACTTGTTCAGCCTTGATGTGTTACTCCTGTAATAATAACCTACTTTATAAATTGAAGTATATTTTTCTGATAGTTTTTGGCAAACATCTTACAAGCTTACCACCAGAACAACATAATATGGTAACAAGCTTTATGGCATTTTAAAAAATGCCTCCCTGTACCATTCCCTTTTTAAGCGACACATGTCTGACATTTCTGTACGTTTTCATTTTATTAGAGAAGACAAAGAGAGACAAATCTTGCATTCATTGGTTCGCCCTCCACTAGCATCCGGGGCTGGGTCAGGTTGAAGCCAAGAGCCCAGAATGTAACCCAGATCTCTTGTTGGGGTAGGAGCCGCAATACTTGAGCCATGGTCGGTTGCTTCCCAAAGTGTGCATTAATAGCATTAATAGGAAGCTGGATTAGGAGCAGAGGAGCTGAATTAAGTGTTTGGCCACAGTTAAATTTCAGGGCCTGGGGATTATTGAGAAGTTAACAGCTTCAGTCTGATCACACATTGTATGTTTGCTTTTGCTGGCCTTTCTGCTTTTAAAATTTTTGTCTGTTTATAAGAATGGCAAAAAGACACAGAGATCTTGCATCTGCTATTTACTCCTCACATGCCTGCAATAGCCAGGGTTGGGCCAGGCCAAAGCTGGGAGCCTGGAACTCAATTCAGGTTTCCAGGGTGAGTGGCAGGGATCCAAGTACATGAGCTGTTACCTGTTGCCTCCCAGAATGTGCACTAGCAGAAAGCAAGAATAAAAAGCAGAGCTGGCTCTGTTGTGGCCTGGGAAGGCAGTGGAGGCTGGCCCAAGTGCTTGGGCCCTGCACCCCATGGGAGACCAGGAGAAGCACCTAGCTCCTGCCTTCGGATCAGCGCGGTGCACCAGCCGTGGCGGCCATTGGAGGGTGAACCAATGGCAAAAAGGAAGACCTTTCTCTCTGTCTCTCTCTCACTGTCCACTCTGCCTGTCAAAAAAAAAAAAAAAGGGGGGGGGAGGGCAGAGCTGGGACTCAAACCCAGGAACTCCAGTGTGGCATGCAGTCTTCCCAGGTGGCGTTTTGACCACTGTACCAAATGCATGCCTCTCTTTTCCTACTTTAACCTGAAGATCCCTTGTTACAGACACCATGAGATTACAAAAGTTAGGGTTTCTAGTCCCTGTGCTTCTGCCTCTTCCCTTGCCTTTGTTTAGCAGTGGGTCTGAGGAGTTAGGCAGCTCCAGGATTCCCCTAAGGCAGTCAGACACTGCTGGAGTTACCACCTGTGCTGTCACAGTCAGCAGTTTCCCACCCTGTCAGCCTCATGGGCACTTGGTGGGGCCTAGAGTTAGCTACGAGTGTGCCAGGTTATTGAGTTATGGGCCTCCTCCCAGATGGCACACTAGCATGGGACTGCAACAGCAGCTTACCAAGCGGTTCTGCTCTGGTGTCCGACTGCTCTGATGGGAAGGGCCCTGAGGGGGCTAGGCAGGGTGAGCCAGGGAACTCTTTCCAGCAGACCCTCAGAGTGCTCACTTAACAATGAAAATATCTTTGTTAGGGGAATTTAGGAAAAATTGAAGAAACACTTCTTGATTATATTGTGCAGCATAGACAGATCAAGGTCATGACAGGCAGTGGCAGGCATTGTTTTTGGTACTTTTGACCATTATTCTGGATAACACTGTCATTCAGAATTACCAGACTCAGTAATTAAAACTGAAGTGAGGATAACTTGTGTCTGAGAAGGAATTAGTGATTGTTGGTAGCTGTTGAAGTGGCTTTTGGTGAAAATGACCACTTTGATAGTAGTATAAACTGAGAATGTTCATGGTGATATTGCTGGTAACCTTAGCAAAAGGATGTGACAGTGAATGGATTTAAGTGAATGCAAATACTCTTGGAAGTTGCAGAAGCTAAAGTGACTTGGAATGGCTACTGTCATGAGTTTGCAATCTGGTCCCTTAAAGGAGGTGCAATTTGTGGTCATGAATGCTAGGCCCGCATTTCTCAGCAACTGAGCTTATCCAGGGATCTGATTCTAGTTATAAAATTGAAGAGGGAGGGTAGTAGGACCTGGGAGCAGGAGTAGCAGGGGCGGTTACAGAGGACCAGTTCCAAACTCTCCTAAGGCTGCTTTTGTTTATAGTCTTTGCAAATAGGAAAGCATTATAGCAGAGTGTTTTATACCCATGTGTCTTTTGCCTCTGCTGTTGAATGTTTGTATTGGTCTCATTTTGAGTCAAATTTAAAAATTGGTATCTATCAGATTTTTCTTAACTTTCCAGCATTACATGTGTTATTAGAATATATTTCCTTTCAAAAGAATAAGTTAAGCTAAGCAACTGCTACGTAGAAAATTTGCTGTGCCTGTAAAGGGTATGCTATTCAGCCATTTACCAAAAAAAAAAAAAAAAAAGCAAAAAACCCCATAAGATGCATATGCGTAATGCTTTTCTTCTGTGATTAAACCTCTATTAATAGACATGTTAATCCTATGAAGTACTGTATTTCTACACAGTTAAAATGTGTTAGTGGAGAAAATATAAAAGGGATAGTGAAGTGCATTTATTCCTGTAGTAAATTAAGTCCTGATTAGCTGATTATCAAAACATTGTCTGATTTACATTTCTATAGACTTATTGCCATATGAACAGGAAATTAATTTGGAAGTAGGCTCAGTCAGGTTCTTAAGTTTAACAAATGAGGAAATCACATCTCTGTTCATATTGTAACTGCTCTCCATAGAGATCATCAGATGTTTGTTGATTTAGGTAGTAGATAAAATATTAAAACTTTAAAACCAAGAAACCAAATAATGTAAAATAAGCCTCTCTCAGGTTTAAGTACTTGTGATTTTTATACAATTAACTCTTCCCGGAGATAACTGTTAAAGGGCGACGATTTAGTTAGGCATGTGGGGAGGGCAGCTGTGTGTCAGCATCGCCCGGCGCTGCTCCCCTCCCCTTCCCCACCCTATGATACTCACTCCCCATACCTGGTGTTTTGGCTCAGGGTGGTGGTGCGTTCCCAGTGTAGGAGAAACAGTGTATAAGTCACTGCTCCACCAGAGGTCATGTTGTAAAGTGGGTTTAGTCTTGCCAAGACATCTTGTCTTTGATCTTTCTGCCTCCCAGAGTTTAAAAAGATACCCTGCCCTGTCACAGTGACAATTTGTCACCTTGGTCATACTAAGGTGAGCGGCATCTTGGTTATGCCCTTTGGCCTAGCCTCACGTGTGTGCGGGGGCAGGGGGATTCCCTTTCCCGGCAAATGTAGCTTATTTATTTATTTGAGATGAATCCTTGTTGCCTCGAGAGTTTTTCCCCCTCAGAGATAATAGCGGTGGCTCTTGATGGATCCATTTGTTGCCGTGGTGATGTGCCCACTCCTTTTGTTGGCGCTTCTCTACTTCAATAAGCCCCTTCCTGTTATCAGCCGAGTGAAAATGTCTGCAAGTTCTTCAGAGCTAATAAACAGCATACATCATCCCTTTCATCTGATCACTATAGTGGGCCTTGGGAGTGAGTGTGGAGCGTGAATCATACAGCTGCACTAATGGAACTCTGAAGAGTGAGCCCCGAGTCAGCAGCGCGAGTGCGTAAGAGGGCCGTAACCTTCCCCCGTCCCAAACTCCCAGTGCTGGGATGCAGACAGGACCCCAGATAGCTGCCTTGTTTGAACAGGAGTACATTAATGCAGCGGGTGGCCTTTATTTGTTTCAAAACAGAATTCAGAGCCAGCCTAGTAGCTCGGAATGATATTTTTGAAGATAGCCCAGTTGACTAAAATTGTCCTGTGTTGGTTTTATTGTATTCCTCCTCCCCTAGGAATGAGATGGAACGGCATTTTTTGGAGCTACTTCAGTTTAATATTAATGTTCCTGCCAGTGTTTATGCCAAATACTACTTTGACCTTCGCTCCTTAGCAGATGACAACAATCTGAATTTTCTGTTTGCTCCGCTCAGCAAGGAAAGAGCACAGAACCTAGAGGTAAGGCCGTGAAATCACGAAGCAGGGTTTCTCGTCAAAGGGCTTATAACCCTTTGGCATCATAATTCCTGTGTCTTTTATAGTTTATACAAGGTGTGCCTTTTTAAATTATAGCTATTATTTCCTCTGTTGACCATAATTCAGAATACTTTTAATCGAATTTAGTCTACTCTTACTGATTTTCCTTTTGTACCACCACTCTTCCACATAAATATACCAGAGAAATTTCCTGGTGTTGTAGCCCTAATCATTTCTATGTACATAATCCACTTACTACTCTTGACTGTTGTTAGCAAGTTTTCAAATTCATATCACTGTTTATACATCAGTTGAATTCTATGAGTTTATTTGACAAAGCATTAGTGCCTATGCCAAGAGACCTGTACTTTGAATGTATAATGTATAATGTGTATTTCAGATAGTGGATATGGAAAGTATATGGGTTTTAATGGAAATTCTAACTTAACTGAGACAGAATGACTTTTGGCAAGTATCCACCAAAGTTATTCATAGCTGAATTGGACACATCTTACAACTGGCACTTTCTGTTGTCCTTTGGTGGTTTAGAATGTTCTGCCGTAATTTGCAACTGAAGAGAGGTAACTTTCGATGTTCCAGTCATTCGACCTCTCCTACCCTCCAGTAAAGTCCACATGCCTGACTCACTGAAGTTTGCCTAGAGTGTAGAATAATGGCCAGTAAATAAACACTGGCTTTTTTTTTTTTTTTTTTGGACAGGCAGAGTTAGACAGTGAGAGAGACGGAGAGAAAGGTCTTCCTGCCGTTGGTTCACCCCCCCAATGGCCGCTATGGCCAGTGCTCTGTGCAGATCCGAAGCCAGGAGCCAGGTGCCTCCTCCTGGTCTCCCATGCAGGTGCAGGGCCCAAGTGCTTGGGCCATCCTCAACTGCCTTCCCGGGCCACAGCAGAGAGCTGGACTGGAAGAGGAGCAACCAGGACAGAATCTAGTGCCCCAACCGGGACCAGAACCCGAGGTGCCGGCGCCGCAGGTGGAGGATTAACCTAGTGAGCCATGGTGCCGGCCAACACTGGCTTTTTGTACAAGTGCACAGGTGATAGATGATACTGCTGTTGGGAGCTTGTCACATTTTTGGGAACCCAGTTTTTAAGTAACTTAATAAAGTTCCCATTTGCTCCAGCAATCTAATCATGGCTCTTCAAGGATAGATGCTACTTAGTGAATTGGCAGGGAATAGCATGCCCTGAACTTGGCATTGTAGACTGCAGATAGCCAAAGCAACTGTAGTTATGAACTGTCTAAAGGAGTCTGTATATGTGGCTTCTGGTCAGTGGTGCTCCATAAGGCTGGAGTTTTCTTCTTTTTTTAATCCTATCTGTATTTTATTTGACTTTCCTAGGCCATTTCCAGATTGTGTGAAGACAAATACAAAGACTTGTGTAGAGCTGCTATGAGACGATCTTTCAGCGCTGATAATTTCATTGGCATTCAGCGCTCTAATGCTATCCTCTCTTAAAGGGAGTAATGAGAGGGTTCTAACATCCTCAATCCATCATCTACAAGGACTGGAGAATTGTCACCTCTCCCGCTCAAAAACCAGCAAAGTTAGTATTTTCACCGAAAACAAAGACATGGAATTCAAGAGACTTGGTGGACAATGAGGAGGATTGCACTCCATAGGAAAGAATGGGACCTTGTTAATGCAACAACACACTCTTCTGTCCTTTTTAATGTAAACAGAGTTAAAAAAAAAAAAAAAAAACACACACTTCAGAAAGGGAAAGCTCCCAACCCACACACAGATATTTGCTTACTATGTAGGCCAATAGCTGTGAACTACATGAGGTTTTTTTTTTTTTTTAATTAATAGTTAAAATTTTTAGACATTACAGACACTAACCCTATAACTTTTATCTTTTTCCTATTTTTCTTACCCTCTTCCAGTATTGCTGCATATGCCTTTAGAATCAATGCAGTATTATCCTTGAAACATGGGACTCTGACCAACTCACAAAACCATGTAGGAGCAGACTGTAGCATTATTAGGAATTGAGGGTTCTTCCTGCATCATTGAAGCTGCTCATCATCGTCATCATTGGCAATCAATTTAAACCAAAAAGCTGCTGGATAACACTTGTCATTCCTGTTCTTTGCAAGCACTACGTACTAGCATTTTAGCATATTTGGGGTCATAAAGAGAAAGTATCAGTTATTGATGACCTACTTCTGTTGGGGCCATGCTGTATTTCTCATGAACTGTAACGGTGCTTTTCATCTTCTGATAATTTTCCTTATTTATCAAATAACTGTATTAAAAGATACTTTCCTAATGTCAGCCAACATGGTGGTCCAGGAATAACAAGCAAGTAGTAAAATACAAGGTGTCCAGAAAGTTAGTGCAGTTTTAAGCATTTGTGTGTTGGTGGGCCCTCCAGGGCACTGCAACAGAAGTAGACATGCTACAAATTTAGAACATCACATGAAAGTTTAGTTTCTTTTAAACTTGTTTTTTTGTAAATTTGGAATGTTAAGCTTTTAATTTTAATGTTTTATTTCAGTACAATTTTAGATTGTACACATTGACTGAAACCCCCTTCCCCAAATAGAATTAAAGTTTAATATTCCAAATTTGCAAACCTAAGTAAGTCCAAAAGAAATAACTGAGCTTTCAGATAATGTGTTGTATGTAAGTCTGTAGCATTTATACTTCTACAGCTATCAAAGCTTACAGCAGCACCAAGAGTTTTGGAATACCTTGTTGTCACCTAGAAGTACCTCCCTTCTTAAAGTAGTTCTTTGCAGAGCTGTACTCTCTCTGCTTGGATCACCTCTCTTTCCTCTAGATCTGGTAAAGGAAGATTATGAAGAGCAGTGTTAATGCACATGTGATGTGCATTAATGTGCATTAATGTGCATTAATGTGATCGACAACAAAGGACTGGACCCTAAATAGCTGTAGGTGATACAAAACGGTTGTTTAATCCCACATGTTCACCTGGCTGGAAGCGTCCCATTTAAAGTCCTGCTATTTAAGCAGAAACTTATGTAAATCTTAGGAACCTTCCAGGCTTTAAAGGACAAGGAATAGATAATGTTAGGGGATTGGTAACAATATCACCCTAGATTTGAAATATTGGGGAAAAAAATGAGTGTTCTCAACTATATGAAATCTGTTTCTCCTACCTTTTCAAGTATAATCCCAGGAATTTGACCTGTAAACAAAGCATTTCTGGGCCAGGAATATTTTCTCTAAATATAGCAACACTTTACATGATATTGAGTGTTACAGGTTCCATCATTTTTAAAGGACAGAGACATAAATAATGGTATATAAATATTACAATCTACCACCTCAAAGAAAAAAACATCGTTTATGGAGTTCAGAGCTTGGAGATTCAAGTGTTGATTGCGATTTTATTTTGAAAAGAATGCTACAGCTCACGTGATTTTTCTTGTGTTTATATTAAAAGAAAAGCTAATAAACTCTATTTTAATTAAATATGGGTAGCGTATTTATAACACTCCTCTATTCATATAGCAGCATGTCTCTGCCTGACTTTTAAGTCAGTCCTGGTAAGTCTTAAAACATTTTAAAACTGACCATTCATAAGTTGGTTTGATCCATGCCTGTAGTTAAGATGTAATTGATTGCTTTTGCTTACTGGTTTTTTTTTTTTTAAAGACTTTTTTTAAAAAATTTATTTATTTGAGAGATAGGGTTACAGACAGTGAGCGGGAGAGAGAGAAAGGTCTTCCATCCAATGGTTCACTCTCCAGGTGGCTGCAACAGCTGGAGCTGCGCTGATCCGAAGCCAGGAGCCAGGAGTTTCTTCCCGGTCTCCCATGTGGGTGCAGGGACCCAGGGACTTGGACCATCTTATACTGCTTTCCCAGGCCACAGCAGAGACCTGGATTGGAAGAGGAGCAGCCAAGACTAGAACCAGCACCCACATGGGATGTCGGCGCTGCAGGCAGAGGATTAACCTACTGCGCCATGGCGCCAGCCCCTGCTTACTGTTTTTCAACTTGAAGATTTATTTTTTCTTAAGATTTGTTTTATTTATCTGAAAGGCAGAGTGACAGAGACTGAGAGTGAGCTTCTATATGCTGGTTCACTCACTAAATGTCCAAAAGGGCTGTGGCTGGGCCAAGCCAGAGCTAGGAATTCCATCTGGGTCTGTTACATGGGTAGCAGGGACCTAAGTACTTGGGCTATCATCTGCTGCTTTCTCAGGCCCATTAGCAGGGAGCTGGATCAGAGGAGCAGCCAGTGCTCAAACCAGCACTCAGGTTGCAGGTGGTAGCTAACCTGCTATGCCACAACGCTGGCCTGACCCCTGAAGATAATTTGTTACACTGGAAACCACTGGCTGCAAAGTGCATTAGATGGAATCTGTGAATAGTTTTTTATTGTACCTGAGAGGGGAAAGCACATTAGAATATAAAATTAGGTAAATTATACAAAAGAGGGAGAAATTACAGGGACAGCATAGAATTAGAATATGAAGGGGCCGGCCCTGTGGTGTACATAGCAGGTAAAGCTGCCGCCTGTGATGCCAGCATCCCATGTGGGTGCCAGTTCGAGTCCTGGCTGCTCCACTTTTGATCCAGCTCTTCTGCTGTGGCCTGGGAGGGTAATAGAAGATGGCCCAAGTCCTGGCTCCTGGCTTTGAATCAGCTCAGCTCCAGCTGCTGGTGGCCATTTGTGGAGTGAACCAGCAGATGGAAGACCTCTCTGCCTTTGCCTCTTTATATAACTGCCTTTCAAACCTTTTTTTTTTTTTTTTTAAGATGTCTTTTTTTTTTACTTGAAAGAGTTACAGAGAGAAGCAGAGGCAGAGAGACAGAGAGGTCTTCTACCCTCTGGTTCACTCCCCAATTGGCTGCAACAGCTGGAGCTGCGCCAATCCGGAGCCAGGAGCTTCCTCCAGGTCTCCCACACAGGTGCAGGAGCCCCAGGACTTGGGCCATCCTCTACTGCTTTCCCAGGCCATAGCAGAGAGCTGGATCAGAAGAGGAGTAGCTGGGACTCGAATAGGCGCCCATATGGAATACTGGCAGTGCTGGTGGTGGCTTCACCCACTACTCCGCAGCACCAGCTCCCAAATAAATAAGTCTTTAAAAAAAAAAGAAGGATTTCAGTTACATAGGAAAGAAAATACAAAGTGAAGAACTAGAATTGGGCTTGCTGTACAGAGAGTGACTTAAAGTCACATGGCTTGACTTTAACATGCTATTTTCAATTAGAAATACACCAAATCTCTTGTAAAAGTAAGAGGCTAGCCAATGAATTTCAGCAATTTTCTTTCTAAATCCTGAAAGTGTTGCTGTATTTTCATCCACTTTAATATTTTAGTACTTAAGGTCAGACTTTAAATCACTGATCACTTTGTTCTTGATAAATCACAATAAATGATCTGATTTTATTAGGGAAGAAAAATCATGTCTTTTTATTTCCCAATAATAACACACCAGCCCATAAGCAAAAATGCTAACTTATATAAATGGTCAGAGGTCAAAAACAAAAAAAGGTTTTGAGGAGGTAAGTGGACATAAGTCTCTTGACTTGAAGATCCAGTTGGCAGAATAAGTAGTATCACTAAAAACTGCTCTTCTCCCTTTGGCTTTAATTCTGTTAGGCTGTACATACAGATATTTTGATAAAGGGAGAATTATTGTTACCTTAGGGCAAGAATGAAAATGACACTGAAAGTGGGTGAGTTCTTTACATGTTATGGGGCATGGAAATTTAAGTTGCAGGAAGTGTATTAGCTATGGTTGTTTTCTTAGAGTGCTCTATACCTAGGAAAGATTTATCTTGTAGCACAAGACCATAAAAAGGAATATCTGACAACCTATTTTCATTTTTAGAGATTTTTCCTATTACAATACAGACCTCAGTGAAATTTTAACTCTGGTTTATTGTGAACTGAATTTTTTGAGAAAATAAAGATCCAGTCAAAAAAGATAGCAAGTTATGGTTCAGTGTTTCTGCTTATAGAGATTTTTTTCTACTCTGTATCAGATTCCACCCCAGCCCTTTCACATTCTTTCTTTGTGATGCATATATGTCTGTACATTACTGAAGTCCCATAGCACTGGATCCTGGTTTTAGGACAGCTCAAGGTTCATTTCTTGGTTTAGTTTTCCTACATCTCTGAGTATAGTAGTCCTTGATTTGGAAAAAAAAATAATCAGAAAAACAGTTCAGTCTTCATGCAGTCTAGATTCAGGTCATGCAGTGTTTTTAGAAACCAGTTTAGCTACAGCATGCAGGATATCTAAAGTCTTTTCACCACCCAACCCTCTCTAACCACATTTAAATGATTGACTTGACTGTTCCCAGGCCCAACAGTTCCACTGAGTATAGAACTACTTGGGAAAGCACTTGACAGCTGGCAGAGAAGTCTCCCAGGTAGGTGATTGCTGTGCAGAATCTATAGATTACACCTGGTTTCTATCAAGTTAAGGATTGGATTACCTACAGCCTTAACTGCCAGCCACTTACCGACCTGGTCGGCCTGACATTGTGCCAACAAGCGATGCACAAGCTGGAGCCTTTGGGTAAAGCCCATTCCACTGGTGCACAGGAACAATCTCCAGGGAGAACAAAAAGAACAAGGTAGTAGGGTTATTTACAGGCTGGAAAGGGAGCTAAGTAGTTTGTGACTAGGAAAATTCAGGAATAGTCCCAAGAACGTAAGGTCTTCAATACAGTAACAGTAGTATCTACTTCAAACAACCTCAAAGGATTCTCAGATGTGCTTGCTATTTTAAATAGCAAAAGTCTATTGCTTCATCTGACCCTGGCAATTCTACAAACCTTTACCTGTTAGCCCCTAAATGTTGGCTTTGAGATCACCTCCACTGAGAATGGACACTTCCTGGCAGCCCAGCAGTGGCTCATCCACCACCTGCTTCACCAGGTCCCTTAGGACCCACCCCCAGCATGACCATCCCAGTTTCTCTGTGTGACCCCTCTCGTGTCCGCTGTGGTGATGTTTGATGTTGGTTATTGCGATGGACTTCCAAAGCATTAGCACCATGTTCCAGGAAATGCAGGTTTTGTATGGCTCAAAGGCTAACGGGCCTCTTGAAATCTCCTTTCATCATCTGTTTGAGCCTTCCTGTGTTCCCCAAAGCAGCTGTTTCTCTTACCCGCTCCCCTGACCTCACAGCCCCTGTCGCTGAGAACAGGGTAGCAAGCACCTCCACATTCCAAAGCCATGAATTAAATCGGGCATTGGATGCCCAATTGGTAACTCCTCATCTAGTGGATTCCATCTCTTAACGCTAAATCCAATCTTCTATACCCACCCTTCATTGACTTTGTTTAAAATTGCACATCACCCCAAATTGGAAATGGGGCATTTTGACTGCTCAGTCCTTCAGTTTCTCAAGATGTCCCCAACTACCTGCTTCTCATCAGCTGTAAGACCCAGGCTTCTCTAAAGGCAATACAAGATCCTGGCACAGGTGAAGAACACTTAGTGGGAAATCGAATGAAGCCTGCAGGTCATGGCAATGTGCCAGCATTGACTTCTTAGTTGTAACAGATGTGCCATGATACCATGAAACGTTAACATTAGGGGCCAATGGGAAGGGCATTCAGGAAACAATTATCTTAGCAGATCTACTCTAAAATTAATAGTTTATCTTTAAAAACTCAGCATGGGCCCCCAAACCAGTTAGGGTTGCAATCTGTCTTTTTTTTTTTTTTTTTTAGCAAGAGCCTCAAATGATTCTTATGCTAACTCGAATTTGACAACCTGCGGATCTCATTCCCTTCCCTAAACAGCCGCTTCTTTGCTTTACTTAACCTGCCTAAAGCTGATTTAATCCTTTAACTCTTCCGAACACTAAGGTATAAATATTATTTTTCCCTTTTCAAAGATAAGAAAACTGAAATACTGAGAGGTTAAGTGTTCAGTCCATAAGTCGTAGAGCTGGCATTTGAATCCCAGGCTGGCTTCCAAACCTCCTCTTAAACCATTCTCCCTCTCAAGCTTGTTTCCATCCATGACAAACTGAGTCATTAAAAGCATTACCACCAATCACAGCATCATGAGCCCACCGAGCTCTGCAAACGTCTCAGTTCCACAGCTCCTCTGCTCCAGGTTGTAGCTGCTTTTTTCCCTGTTTCAACTCGGGAAGCAACAAGAAGGCATGGGGAAGATGTGTCAGCCCTAGGGTCTTGGACATGTAAGGTATGTCTGTCGGGATTCATCTCAACTACTGTGTATTTTAGGCTGCCTCTCCCAGCTGCCCTAACTGACGTTCATGGCACTCGTGTCGATGCTGGATTACAGACTCTCATTTTTCACTTCTTACTGGGTTTGTGCTGTCTCCCCCAAACAAGATTATTATTTGAGCGGAGCAGAGAAAGCAAGAGCTCCCATCTCCTGGTTCAATTCCCAAATGCCTGCCAGTAGCAGGGCTGGGCCAAGCCAAAGCCAGGAGCCCAGGTCTCAGTCCTGATCTTTCAAATGAGTGGCAGAGACCCAACTGCTTGGGCCCTCACCTACCGTCTCCAGGGGTATGCATTAGCAGGAAGCTGGAATTAAAACTGGAGCCAAGACTCAACCCCAGGCACGCATGGAATGCAGGTGTCCCAAGTGGTGTCTTCCCCACCAGGCCAAACTCCAACCCCTCAAACCACATTTTAAGTTCCTAATTACCCATGTTTCCCCACATTCCTATGCCTCAGAGCATTGTGGGAGATCCTTGCCAACAGGGGTGGTGTTTGGCAGAGTGGTGGCTAATCTGTCTTGCCAAAGCAGCAGTCCACAGAAGGCAGTGTGGCAATGGTACTGTCATCTCTGGCTTAGGCGTCTGTTCAGATCCTCAGGGAGGTGTTTTCCATTTACTTCCAATGTATTCTAAATCGATGTATTTCTTTTCCTCTGGGAACCCTGACTTCTATTAAGAGTTCAGTGCCAAGTGTGAATCCAACTGTTGAATGATGAGCAGTTTTGGGAATTCTGCAACCGGACACACACACCAGTGCCTCTTCAAGCGGGTCCCATACAGAGCACAGACGGAAGGCTGATGAAAGGGAATGCAGGCTCAGGCTCTTCTGGGAGTTCCTGCCCTCTCTTCAAGTGGTTATGAAACCATCGCAGGGTCGGTAGGAGAAGCCTAGGCATCTATCCACACACACACGTGTTTTAATTAGTTCTTCTGGTGATTGGAATTTGCTTGATTTTACTAATAATTTTGTCACATTTTAAGCACATCTGAGAGATCTATGAAATTAGAACCCATACATCTTTTGTTAGCAACTCTTGGGAAAGCAGCATATCACCATAAAAACATGAGAAAAAGACATCTACAACATCTTTTAATTTTCTTTATCATTGCTTTAATGCATTTTAAAATTTATCTACATCAATTGGGAACAAAGAAACAAAAATAGACATTTCTTTGTTTTTCATAAATAACTAATCTCCATATTTGATAAAAAATCTCAAACTGTTATCTTACCTTCCCACAAATATAATACATACAAAATTTTTCTGAAATAAGGTCAACAAATTAAGTGTCTTGAGACTAACATTACCACATCTGCTGTTCTACTGACTTCCAGGAACAAAACAAAAATAAACTTATCAAGATGCTCTGGGTTTCTTTTTGTTAGTGTTATGGACTCAGAATTATAATCATCTGCCAGGAACTTAAGGGTTCAAGTTGATTGTCTACAAATAAAGTATCACTGGCTCTGATTTGTGAGTTCTGAATTTGACGTGACAGTGACAATACTGCATAGGACAGGCACTATACATGTATGGAAATCATGAAAGGTATTGAATGCCCTGGACTCGAACTACTGACTCGGTATGTGCCTCATTTGGCTCAGTAATAAATTCACCTGCACCAAACCCGTATCAAAAGTCACTAAATCTCTCATATATATATATAATATATATATATTATGTATATACATACCCACAAAACATACATACTATACATATAGTTTGTAACAACATGAAGTGATATTGTCTCCAAATGACAGACTACAGACAGACATTATCCTAGCTGAAATAAATCCCGTAATTGTCACCAAGCTGCTAGAAGCCGTTGAAAGTTTGAGTCAGGTTAGTCACTTACATCCTGCCTACCCTTCACCCCTCTTTAATGTCATGGTCGATTTTTCCTTTCAGAGCCATCCTCCCCAGGCCAGGCATGTTCCTTCCCCGGATCACTTGATTGGACTGGGAAGACAAGAAAGGGCACGCAGAGGGAGCAGGCAATTCGCAGCCGCTGTACCTCGCACCTGCCTAGATTTGTGATGTTCTCTGTCCTGTCTGCCACATTCGGTGTTAGAAAGCAGTTATTCAAAGCTTTGTCCCTCTTACCCCCCTTGGTCTTTCTGTAGAGCACAAAAGTGAAAGAAGCTGCTGTAGCAGGGGTAGCAGTTCATTAAAATACACAACTAGGTTTCCTAGCTCTGGGGTTCCCATTCTGTACTGGAGAGTGCAGGTCACGGCTGCTGTTATTAAGGTTCGGTGTGGGATCCAGGAGGTTTTCTCCTGGCAGCCGGTGTCAGGATTAGTGCCGCCCTGGCCCAGGAGGGAACAGCCTAATGAATACCAACTTTGAAACAGTGCTGCCGGCACATTATTTAAGCTTGTACATGCACATAATTCTGCACAACACTTCCATGCTGGCCCTGGCCACTGACAGTGGTCATGCGAAATCATGACAAAGGTTTGCAAGGATAAACCAATAAGGCACCGAGAGGGGAGAAAAAAAAAAAAAAGATTTCCAACCAATGTGAGACACCTTCAAAGAGTGAAGACGGAAATAATATAAACAGTCTTCCTAAGATCTGGTCAACTGGAGTCACTGAGAACACCTAGTGTTCCTTTAGACAACCTTGCATCTAAACTCTCCTGCCCTTATCTTGGAAGCCAGACTTCAAGTTGAACTGTGAGGTGGATGGACAAGACCAAAGCAAGCCTTTGGTCTCCCCCACCCTGCAAGCCCAAATTGCTCAACCACCCCCAAGACCTTTCATTTTGTAACTGTTCTCAGGAGTACCATCTGTTTACAGAAAAATGCAAGCCAGGGGAAAATCCTTGTGCAGATGCTAACGGGGTGACCATCTGCAGGTGCAGCGTCTCCTCCCTGGCTGGGTTGGGGACGGCCAACATTAGGAGAGCAGGTGGGCTTCATCTTTGTTAGAGGGTGGCGGCAAAAAGGACAGCAGGGGTGACAGCACAGACACGAGGTGCCTCTGAAATTTGGTCTGAAGCTAGACCCCAAAAACTATTACCTGTATCTCTTCTCCTTGGCTATCTGACATTTTAAGCAAATTAGGTGTTCTCTTTAGATTTGGCAAGTGGCTAAAATGAAAAGGTAATTTAAAAAAAAAATGAATTAGATTGCCTTCATCCAGTTCATTCTACAACTTTCAGATAAACTATGCATCGTTTCTAGATCTCTCCATAAAGAAAAGGAAGGTGGGGGCACAACCCAAATTAGGGACAATGACTGGAGGGAGCAGGACAAGCTCTGTTTTCTGGGGCAACACAGCCACGTAGGGAAGAGGGCAAGGGGGTCAGGAAAGGTCCTCATCGGAAACATGGGAGAGGAACGGGCACTCAGGACCCATTTCCAGGTTCTCAGAAGAGGCTTTGGGCTGAGTAAGGCAACGAGATGTACACAAGGTTCTGTAACTGTGTACTGGATTTCACTGAATCCAATACAGCTTAATTTTGATTCAGAGAATGAGTTGTGTGAGAGTGGTGCACTTTTATAAAACTCTGCTACTAGGCTTCTCCCCGCCAGCAAAGTGTTGGAATTCTCTATGGGAACTTCGCATTTGCCTACTCAATAGAGACAACGTGACCTGGACTTAAATTTTACTGCTCCAACTTTGGTACAAACGAAGCTTGAAGGCCCAGGCTCCAGTTGTTTCCCTAGGAAGGCTTTCTCAATTTTAATGCCTTTGGCCATTTTAGCTTCATACATTCAGTGTCTACTCAGTCCTGGTCACTGGTATTTTGCTGGCCGATGCAGTCACCCTCTTCCCCAGAAATGGCCTCACACTCTTCATGAATGAATGGTTAAACAGATTAGGAAAGCAAACACAATTTTCCAATAGCAAAGAAACGTGTGTGTGTGTGTGTGTGTCTGTGTGTGTTCATCAGTATATAGGCTTTTATATAGGAGCGAAGGAATGGTTAAAAAGATTAGGAAAACAAACCAGATTCTGTAAGAGCAAAGAAGCTGTGTGTGTGTGTGTGTGTGTGTGTGTGTGTATGCTCATCAATATATAGCCTTTTTCAGAAGAGAAAAATATCTATGGGCTGTGTGTGTGTGTGTGACGAGGCGCCTTCCCCCTAGGATAGCACTACACTCTGCCCAGCTTTAAAAAGCATATGCAAGTATGTTATGAGTGTCCTTTGTTTTCAGAAACTGCGGAGAGCGCTGTCTGGCTTCCTTTGCAATATCTGGCCATAAACTAGTCCAAAGTCCACGAACACTTATTTTCCCTCGTCCTGGGCCAATGTTTGTTCACGGTAGCCAGCCCCCTCCCCCAGTTCAAGCACTTCATTCAAGGGTGGGTGTGGTTTCTAATCACAGCTCTCCAGGAGAGGAGGAATAAGAAAAGCAGAAAGACTGTTTAACATGATAAAGGAGGCGGGGTGGGGGGAGCAGATAAGGGAAGTGTTGGAAATTTACTTTAATTACTGGAAGTACACCCAATTTTAGCCCTTACACTCCAAACCAAGCCTCCCTTAGCAACTATCATTAAGTATTTTCAGAAGAGGGTACTGGGACTACTTTCACTTAAATCGAAACACAAGTTCCTTTTTGTTTTTGTTTAAGAACAGATCTGCTTAAGTCTATTAAGAACTACCCATTCTGGGGCACACAGTTCACCGGTTCGGCCAATCGCCAGCCTCCAGGTTCTGTTCCAAATATTTATACAGGACGCTCTCAGACTGACTCAGGACACTGACACTGAGCTGTTCACCAGTGCCGCAGCAGAGACCCGAGCTGGCTGGACAAAGCCAGTGAGGAAGGCCAAATCCCCAAGCGCTCCCTCACCCTGTCACTTTGGGCGGGGGTGGGGTGTTTGCTAAGCACATTACGCTCCCCTCCCTGATAGGACTTGGGGCTATCAGCAGGACCCAGCAAGCGCTCTCCTGAAAACCTCGCCTCGGAGGTTTGCAGCAGTGCAAGAGGCTAAACTGATGAAAAAGCACACCCGGCGGCAACTTTCCGAAAGTCACAGCACACCACACTTTCACTGTTCACATTGTTTTCAAAGACACACGTACAGGAAATAGATTTTCCCAACGTGGACCACACTGTTCAAAAAGAAACCTGAACCAAGTGGAACTTCGTTACAACGCCAGCCTTCGGACTGTAAAGACCCCAGAGCAAAGGTAGATGATGCTGTTGCCAAAATGCAACAAAGTTACACATGAAGAAAAACAAAAACACACATATAAATTAAAAAGAGGGCTCCCCCCAAGAAGGCAGCAAGAAACGCAAAGGCCAACGCACGCGAGCTGAGCCCCTCCAAGAAGAACCGGGCCAGGCACTCCCTCGAACCGGTGCCTTTCCCCGTCTCCACGTCGCCCCCAGGAGGGGGCATCAGCACCACGGAAGTAAACGGAAGTGACCTTGGCAAAGCTACCAAACAAAACCTCCCCCTCCCCTCCCGGCCTCCTACACGTGCGACAGGGACACCTGCTTGTGGTAGGCGGCGGCGGCGGGGCCCGGCGGCCCGGTCCTGCCGGTGAGCGCGGCGCTGGCCTCGGCGTAGTCCCCGGCGGCGGCCACGGCCCCGCCGCTCTTGTGGCCGCGCCGTGGGCGGCAGCAGCAGCGGCTGGTGAAGCGCCGCCACGACTCCAGCGTCTTGCCGGACCAGATCCAGACGCCCGACGTGATGCCCACCACGAGGCACATGAAGTACTTGAGCATGAGCACCCAGTACTCGGGCTTGGCGCGCGGCTGGCCGGCGTCGGGGCCCGGGCACGCGCAGGTGAGCGCCGCCTCCCAGCTCTCGCGGTAGTGCTGCTCGTACAGGTAGCAGGCCACCACGATGCTGGCGGGCACCGTGTAGAGCAGCGTGAAGATGCCGATGCGGATCATCAGCTTCTCCAGCTTGTCCGTCTTGGTGCCGCCCTGCTTGATGACGCTCCGGATGCGGAAGAGCGACACGAAGCCCGCCAGGAGGAAGAGGGTGCCCACCAGCAGGTAGAGCACCAGCGGGCCCAGCACGAAGCCCCGCAGCGAGTTCAGGTTCTGGTTGCCCACGTAGCAGATGCCAGCCACGGGGTCCCCGTCCACGGAGCTCAGTGCCAGCGCTGTGATGGACTTGACGCTGGGGATGAGCCACGCGGCCAGGTGGAAGTACTGCGCATAGCCCGCGATGGCCTCGTTGCCCCACTTCATGCCGGCCGCCAGGAACCAGGTGAGCGATAGGATGACCCACCAGATGGAGCTGGCCATGCCGAAGAAGTAGACCAGCAGGAAGACAACGGTGCACAGGGCGGGACCCGTGGTCTCGTAGTGAATGTGGCTGTGCTCGCGGCTGCAGGCCACACTGGCGTGGCCCACGACCAGGCGCACCAGGAAGCCGAGCGACACGCACAGATAGCAGGCCGACAAGAAGATGATGGGGCGCTCGGGGTAGCGGAAGCGCTCCATGTCGATGAGGAAGGTGGCCACGGTGGTGGAGGTGGAGATGAAGCACAGCACGGACCACAGGCCGATCCAGAAGGTGGCGAACGTGCGCTCGTCCGGGCTGAAAGACGGCTGGTAGCAGGGCACCGCGCAGTTGGGCACCTGGCCCGTGCGCACCTTGTTGTAGAGCGGGTGCGACTCCTTCAGGATGGGCACGAAGGGCTCGCGGCACTTGCACACCGACGGGCCGCCCGCCGCGCACTCGGCCCCGGCGGCTGGCGCCCCTGCGGGGCCTGCGGGCGTGGGCTTGGCCGGGAAGCGCCTCGGGGGCGCCGTGGTGGCTTCGCTGCGGTTGTAATCCATGCACAGGACCTCGGCGTCGCGGCCCAGCACGGGCAGGCGGTCGCAGCTCATGCGCTCGGGCCAGGCGAAGCCGTACTGGCGCATGAGCGGCGAGCAGCCGGCCTTGGCGCGCTCGCACACCGAGCGGCAGGGCGGCAGCGGCTTGTGGTAGTCCGGCAGGCAGATGGGCGTGTACATGGAGCACAGGAAGAAGCGCAGGTCCGGCGAGCAGTGGATCTCCACCAGCGGCCAGAACTGGTGCACCTCCAGGCCCGCCTCGTCCTGCGTGTCGTGGTTGAACTGGTTGGGCATGTGCGTCAGGTTATAGCCGATGCCGCGGCACATGGGCACCGTGATTTCCTGGCACACCGGGGCCTTGGAGGCGGCCGCCGCCCGGCCCGCCAGCTGCGCCAGGAGCAGCAGCAGCAGCGAGGGCGGCGCGGACGGGTCAGGCCGAGCCATCGCCCCCTCCCTCCCCTCGCCTCCCGCTGCCCGAGAGGGGCCAGCGCAGGCAGAGGAATCCGGGGCCGGCTCGTCCCTCTCCGCGTCCCTCGTGTGTCTCTCTCTGTGTGTGTACGCGCGCGCGCCGCCGGGGCTGGCAACCTGTTGGTTTCTTTTTCTCTTAGAGAAAGCCGTCCAAAGATAAACTGCTCCGGGAAGGCGCTGCCTCCGCGGGCAGCGCTCGGGGAGAGACGGTCAGGGCTCCGATTCCAGGCAAAGGACTCTTAAAAAAAAAAAAACAACAGATGGGGGAGACGAAAAATTGCAGCCAGCTCCCATTAGGCGTCAACAGTTCGGTCCCCG